AGTTTTCAATTGGTTTTGTACCATGAAATAACGTCCAAATATGCTATTATTAAAAATGAAAAACTACATCATTGAGAAATTTTGAAAATAGTCTTTTTGTGACAGAAAAATTGAGGAAGTAGTTAATATTTAATATAATTGTGCTGAAAAGAGATGATTTTCTTGTACCAGAAAGGGTGTTGGGTATGAACGTAAATGTAAGGAGAGAAATACCGAAGAATATAAGGGTAAACCACAGAACATAGAGAGAGATTAGAAGTATAATGATATTAATTTAGTATGGGAACCGAGTGTCGCCTCTCCGCACACAAATACAGATGAGATGAAATGATCATTTTGTTCACTACATGAAAAACCGACACGCGATAGGTTCGCGATAACATAAATCAAATCCCAAAAAGATACTAAGCTAAGAAATCACACGATTAAAAACAAACTCTAATTCAACGTGATAATAAATAATTTACTTTAACATGAATGTTGAACTGTCACGTGGCTGTATATGGGGATACCAGAAGGAAAAAAATATTTTAAGATTATGCACATTTAAAAAAATTGGGGTCATCATTTTATGTGCGAACTATTAATATTAGATTTTGCTGTAACCAAGTGAATACTGAAAAATTAAGGCTTTTCCCTACATAATTTATTAAAATATCTTTTAAAAAACGCAGTACAAAAACTAAGAAAACTTAATGATACACTCTATCGTATGTCTGTGGAGTAATATAATTAAGCGAGGGAAAGTGTAAAAAAATCAAAAATTAAGAAAACAACAGAATTTTTGTATTAATTACATTAAGCCTAATTTGTATTTTTTTCTTACTGGTATCATTCCGATTGTGCATATTAGTGATGTGACATATTAGTTGATAAAATAAGAGCTTTAAATTTTGTCATGAAACAGTTCAATGTAATTCAGTTCGACAATTTTCTACAGTGGTTTGATAGTAATTATTTAAAGCTTTATTCAAATAAAACGAAATACATAAAGTTTGCATTACCTAATGTGAGGCATGTTAATATACTTATAAATGTAAATAGTGAAAAAGTTGAGATGGTGGAATCGACAAAGTTCCTTGGTATTTTGGTATATTGATAATTTGTCAAGTAGACTGAGTTCTGCAGCATTTGCTGTTAAGAAAATTAGACTCTTAACAAATGTTGAAACGGCAAGATTGGTATATTTTAGTTATTTTCATAGTGTAATGAATGACGTATAATCTATTGTTATGGGGTTCTGCGGCTAGCATTCAAGATATTTTTATTCTACAAAAGAGAGCTGTCCACGCTATATATAATTTACGGTCTAGAGAATCTCTCAGAGAAATATTTAAAGAAATAAATATTTTGACTGTTGCCTCTCAATACATCAATGAAAATATTATGTACGCAAGAAAACATTACGATTCCTTCACAAAAAAAGTAGAAATAAAAATAAACTTGCCATTCCAAGTGCTTGTAATAGCCTTCTTGAATAAAGATATTTTCATTTCATTTCATAATAACTAATATGATCATTACACTAATAAATTGATCATAGCCATGTTTGTTTTACTTTATTATTCTAAGTTTTATATCTGTAATAATAGTGGTAGCTACATTATTAATTGCAACGACTGGACAATAAGGAATTGCTGGTCAAGTATGAGTTTGAACCGTGACAAAAAAGTTTGAAGATAGACACAAAAGCGATAAGTACGTACAAACGTCAATCTACATATAAAGTCACATCCGTTTGAGACATGCGTCTATAAACTTATGTGCAAATATGGAGCAACAAAAAAACTGATAAAAGCTGTTCTGTGGGCGGTTCTTTAAAGTGGCTTTCTTAACTCGATTTCTATAATAATAGTTTCCGATTATGAATCAGCATAATAAGGTAAATTAAATTGACGCCTAAAAATTAATTTTGTAAATTAAATTCACACCACCAACAATATTACGTTAGTTGAAAACATAATTTTTTGTTTGTATAGATATTATGTTGTTTTGAAATTCATTTGATAGGTTTAGGTCTAAAACAGATAAGGCAAAATTAATTATGTAAACAAGGCAATCCGTTGTAAAGTTATTAGGGAAACTGAAATATAAGTAATGCAAAATAAGTGAAATCCAGTTTCACCAGTTTCTAACAAGACCTATTAGGCCAACTCTTAGCTTTTCACGAAGTTTCGTTTAATTTATGTATTGTTCATAAAACGGTGATATACTTCGTAACTTAGATATTTATAGCACATCAGTAATTTTTAATATTTATCTGCGTGTAAATAATTAACCGAATCTTCGTAAAAAAAGTGCCTGGACAGTTCATTATTTCATTTGTTCAGTATCAGTTCATCTATAATTTTCCCTTGTAAACAGTATTTTTTAGTTTTATATAATTATGGCATATATTTATCGATAACGTTGTTATGAAATGATGAAAGAAAAGCTCTAAATAAATATGTTTTAGTTATCGATTACGATCCATATAATTAACAATACGATTCCGAGCAGCAGCAGCCTATCGGTACATTTCAGACAAATGGAGGCACAGCACTATTTTTTGCAAAAGTGCACAAAATGATTTACATTGCTGTTTAGTAATGGGGTCAGAAACATTGATGTTGGTTTGAGCAATCAATGTATATTTTATTTAACATTGTGTCAAATTATTACGTTTTTTATATTTTAGCACTAAAATTGTACTTACCAGTGAAAGGAAATGTTTGCATTAGTTAGATTGAATACTTTGCTTTGCTTTTTGCAAGTGATAATAGCACAAAACGGCATTTTTTATAGAAAAAATCTGTAAAATCACCACTCGACGATTGACGAACGACTGGCAAACATAAAACCGAGGAAAGGGCGTCATATGAGTAAAAGCGCATATGCCAGCGACGCGTGCCCCGCCCACTTACTACTTCTATTCTCTCTCTATGTTCTGTGGGGTAAACTGTGTAAAACATCATATGAGCTTGGACTAATATGAATAAAAAGGAGGGTATATTGAGATGATGGCTGATATCGAGAAGTATGGGAGAAGAATATATATTGCGCCGACCCGAAATATACAAATAAGTGGCCAAGCAAATGATTTCTAAAGATTTTTTCTCAGTCAAATGTGATTTTTATAAAATCTTCTCTATAGAAAAATTACAAAAAAAAACTTCTTCAAAAAAAAAAGACTTTAAACAAGGATTCATATTTTTTTTTATTAATATAATAACATTTGTCTTAAAACATAATAACTAAAAACAATCCCTACGACAAAATTTAATCACACTATTATTAAACATTTTTATAAAATTTTCTCTAACAGAAAATTTACAAAGTAAAAAACTTCTTCAAAAAATAAAAAAATCTTTCATCAAGGATTCATATTTTTTTAATTAATATAATAAAATTTAAATTAAAACATAATAACTAAAAACATTCTGTCTTATTCAAGAAAATCTCAATCACAACAGTCAGTAGAGCGAGTCTGCATCTTCACATAGGTAGGTTAGCGACACACATAGGTTGCTTACGTCCCAGATATTCGCTAAGGCGATATTGAACCGCTTTTACCCTGTTAGTTTACTGACGATGGGAAGTTAGCTCTAATTAAAAACTCAGTGGTGCAGGGAAATCACAGAATAGGCTTTTAGCAGTATTAAACCAAGCACGTGTGTAAGTGTTCATAGAAGCTTTATATGAAATGAAATATTCTATGTTCCTTTTCTTGTTATATTTTGCAATTACTTTTCTATTTTATATTTAAACTTCTCGTTTTGTCGCGATTTCACCCGCGGATGACGTAGTTTCCCATATATCATAATTTGATTGACTTTACACAAATTAAGTTTATACAATAATTACATGAGCTAAACTCTATCTTTCTTTCTGTTACTAACTTTTGCTTAAACATGAGGATAGACGGCCAGTTGCACAAACGTCCATCAAAATTGTCCTCAGTTTAAAGCGACATTATCCATGCAAATTTGACATTTATTAAAGCTTAAAGATCTCATTAAACCCTGAAAATACGTTTGTGCAACTGACCGTGAGATACGTAACTTGCGAACTAACCAGGCTCTAGCTTGATAAGCTGACATGCAAAACTAGTCTCATATATCCCAGGCATTAAATGTACTGGACTGTTGGCTCAGATTTACAATAATCAAATTATTTACAGCATTGATCGTCGCAATTAGCATCCGTATAATTGTTTCATTTATTCTGGAGGTTTCTGTAAATAATTATATTTTCTAATAAGACACCAACGCTTTTTATACTTACAGTTAAAATTAAAAACAAATAAAATTTCGGAGTTGGTTCCTCAACTATTAAAACCTCAATTACCTTCAAACATAGATATATCGAAGTAATTGTTACTTAAGTATCGTATATAGGAGTATACACACTTTGAAATTTGAATGCTGCTGTCATACTAATCTCGAAAATAAAATATATTAAGCTGTCTCGTTGCCAAGAGTCCAATATGCGTTAAAATTTAAGTTAAAATTTCATTCACATAATATCTATTTATTTTATTAATCAATACCTAAATAATTAAGACAACAAGAAATATTTACTACTTAAACACAAAAAATACTGTTGTAAAAACATACTCACTTTTTTATTACGTTTAAAACATTTATAATACAAAAGAAAACAGAGTTGTGTCATTTCACTAATTTTTCAAAATCATATATAACGATGACTGCAGAAACTAACTTTTACGTACCTACACACGTACCTACTATATCAATCATAAGGAGACCCTATCAGGCACATTGCCATGAAAATCGTGCTACATTTTATAAGAAGTACAAACTGAATTTTATCCCAAACCATTTCCAGACATGACAGTTAAATTTTATCTTGTTTTCTGCTAATTTGATTTATTTTGAACAACTAACATTTTCGTAGAGATTTCTCTGTAAGACAAGCAAGAAATAAATCAATTACGTAAAGTTCAAATTAAAAGTTTGTATACAGTATAGTTTTTTTAACCTTATCGTGTTTTGTTACAGGACAAATTGCTCAATAAACTGGAGGAGAATGAGCCCGAGCTAGCTACTTCACCGGAGGAAGAGGTGAGTTAATGCATATTGTAACATACTCTACGTCCACAACTTGCAATCTCAATATTAACGTATATATTATTATTTTGCGTTGTACACTTATATTACATTATTGTTTTATCAATTTTGCATTCACGATGTTTTACTGATAAATATCTTTAATGAAAAATGTTTAAAAATCCACCAGCTCCAGTCACCCCTAGATGGGGTCCCATCCCAAAGATATTGGATTTTTAAGATATTAGCAATTTATTTATAATTAGACATAAATATATTAATGATATAGTCCATGGTTAAATTCTACCATTGCAACATGATTTATAAAACATAGCCTGTGTGAATGAAAACACATAAATACTTATATTTTATTTGATTATATAGTAATATTTTAATTTTTGGCTATTACTTAAAGAAGTAAAATTTTATACAACCTTTCATTTTTTACATTTTTTTATATAATGTTTATATATCTTCCTTTATTTTTATAACTTTGTTTTGTGTCTTACAGTTATTCTACTGCAATATTATCTAAACCTATTCATTTTTCAAGAAACAATATGTCATAATTTATTAAATATTGCTCTCAGATATATTATCATAATATTTTTATGTAACCATTGTTTTTATTGACGACCTGACGAAGACATTGAAAATGTTGAATGGAATATATAGCAACATTTATATATATATACATACTTCATAATTATTTATAGATAGCTATAGTACAGTAGCAAACGACCACTTTTAACATATTTTTTATTTTCAGTAAGGGTTTACTTATTCGATAGTTTGATAAGTTGGTACCTACTTAATGTGTAATTTTTATTTTTGATGGCGGTAAATGAAAGACGTGCCGTATGCGCCTATAATTTGCTTTTGACAGATTTTATTTTTATTTTTCTCTACTTTTAAGAACTTTCACTTCAACGAATAATATTTCAAATAAGAAATTGCCATATTGGCGCAGCCGTCCCCCAACTTTCAGCTTAAGAACATATTGAACGATTTATTTATGAATGTTATTGATTTTAGTAAATAATTAGATATGTAGGGGTACGAATGGCCCTGCGTTCTCAAGTAGGAATTGTAAAACTTTTGATACCATTTTTCTCTTTTTCTTGGAAGTTTTTTTTTTCTCTTGGTAGAAAATTCTATCAGTATCAGCAATTTTGAAGAATACATTTTAAATATCTATTTCTAATACCATTAAATAAACTACTATCCAACTAGATCTTCTTGCACCTGTTTTCACGCCAACCACTAAGCTTCATTTCTACCACCCAACAATGTTATGCTTTTTTAATATTAGGACTTATAATTGACATAACAATAATAGATGACTGTACTAACATATACAATAGATTCTGAACATCACTAATTAACTTACTTGTAACGTGAATAAATGCAAGAAACGGATTCCTAAAGTAAGATTACCTAGTCAGCTTTCGAGAACACTAATACTTTATGACTGTTAAACAGTAAACTTTAAAATTTACGATTTATTCGACTTACCCAATAGTATTTAGTGGCACATTTACTGCGCTGTCTGTAAATCAGGCCTCCCGGCCAAAAATATTACGGTTTAGCTGTGAAATGTGGTAACTGCGGGACCGTTACGTCCGTACAATTTTTACGAAACTACACTTAAATGGGAACTATGTCTTACATTTTGGCAGTAAGAACTGGCGATCTCTGACAAGTGACATTGTGATCTAAGTATCCACATAATTAAGAACCTAAAGATATAACTTATAAAGCTTTGTTAGCAAATAAAAATTATATTATTACAATGTTGATAGGCACTAGCCTACAAAGATATCAACAGAGAAAAAACCTAAGTTACTAAGGAAATATATATACTATCTAGATATTATTTAAAATACTTTTGTCCATACTTGATGGACTTAATTCAAAAAGAATTTCTAAAAATATATCACTCTGTGATTTTTTTTTAATAAATTACATTCTGTCATCTGAAATCACCTGTAACCTTGCTTAAGTTCAAGGTTGCACTAATCTGATGATGAAAACATACAGACAGGGCAGCAAATCTACGAACGTTACAAAATCCTGCGCAGTTTGCAGTTGGCTTTCTAGAGTCTCGCAAAACTTTCTGACATTAGACCTTGAAATTGTTCTACTTTGATAAGATCATATTATGTAAACCTTTAAGGTGAATGGCTTAGTATTAATCACTATTACAATGGAGCCCAGTATCATATATCTTTTTAGTGTTTTAGAACGACCAATCAGAAATTCGGATAGCCAATATAGCTTTAAAATTTCTTAAGTAGAAAAATGAGTGAAATTTCTCGATCATTTTGCTAACTAATATGAATATTGTGTGTTAAATCACTATACCAGCAATTTAGAAAAGTATTAACGAGCTTGGCTTCAATAATCCAGTCAACTAGAGAATATCAAACCTCTACATCGATAACCTAATAATTTTATTATTTCTTAAATGTCCTTTGTTTATTTATTTACAGTGCGTAATATGTGTGAACGCGAAGGCGACTATGCAAACATCGCCGTGCGGCCATCGAGTGGTCTGCCGGCGGTGCTTCGTCAAAACCATACAGATGGCAGTCAGTCAACGGTTACTGCCGCTTCGTTGCGTCATCTGTCGCGCCAAGATCCTGCGGTTGCGGCAGGCACCGCGGCTAGTCACAAGCAAAAGCTGGCAGGTCAGCCTTGAATGCCTTTTGTCCATGCATTCATTAATACCCTTATCCAATGGCGTACCACGATAGGGCAAAATGTGGCATTTGCTCTACCGAAATGTTAGCTAGCTGTTGCTAGAGTTCATATCCGTTCAAATTACAAATTAATAATAATAATAATAATATACTTTATTGCACTCAATATGATACAATGTTTACAGGAGCTTATTATTTAAAAACATTGAGTAAAAAATCAGTACCCGAGAGTCAGTCCTATCAAAAATATTGGTCTATTGGCACAAAATATGTTTATTTCGAAAAAAAAAAAACAAAAAAGTCATCTTTGAATAATTATTCACGATCAAAAGGAAATCCCTGTCTTTTCACCTCAAATATTTTTTGATAGGTAAGTAAACAATGATAATATCATCATAGTATGTTTACTACATTAAAAACCGTAACATAATAGCAATACAATGATTATTGCCTTGCTCGCCCGTGTAGTATCCGTGTGGATAATTCATGACGATTATCGTTACGGGGTGACCTTTGACAATGGCACATGCAATGTTTCCCAAGTTATCAAACTCATTCAGCATAATTTTATAGAAAATTGTTACACTTGTTTACGAACAAAAATTGATAACATTATTATTCCCGGAAAAAACATACCTATACCTACTTCCTTATTGCTTTTTAAGGGCTTTTGTTTAACTTGGAATGTATGTAAGAATGTATGTTCATTCGGGTGGAATCTTTGAACTCAATCTTAAAGTAGATATCTTCAACCGATTGAGCTGAAATTTTGTATACACGTATAATTTAGATGACAATGCCTGATAATATTGTGACGTCATTCTAAGACCAATATGACGGAATTGTTATTTTTAATGCACTTTTACAATATAGGTATCAAATGAAAGGGCTCGTTGACAGTAACCAGAAAAATAATGTGACCTCACTCTAAATTCAATATTGCGGCCCATACAGGATGGCGGAATAATTATAATGAATCCACTTCTACAATATGGGTATCAAATGAAAGGGTAAGTCGAGAGTAACTTGGAAAAGAATGTGACATTACTCTAAATCCAATTTGGCGCAATATTGAAGTCTTATATGCTTTAAAAAAAATACGAAATTAACCGGCAAACGATCTTGCAACAATGATGCGTTGAATCAGATGAACAGACCGAAGAACCTAGCGATAACTTAAAAGTAAAACAATTAATTAAAAGAAAAAAAAAAAAACCTTTATTACATCCTCAAAAAAGAAGAAAATAAAATTTTCTTTTATTATATTTGATCAATTTTGCATTCACAATGTTATACTGAAAAATATTCTTAATGAAAAATGCTTAAAAAATCCATTTTGTCCCTGGCACTCAAACCCATGACAGAGATTAGAGCAATCGCCCGGATTGCCAAAGGTGCGAGTCCCATCTCAGGTTACCAGGGACAAAGTGGATTTCTAAGCATTTATCATTCAAAATAAAATTTTCTTTGAAATTGTAACCACCAACTTATTTACATTATACACAATTTATATAATCATAAACCGTTATTTATCGCATCTAGCAGCATTTGTTTACGAGTAATGACGCTATACCATATAGTGCATATAACCATGTTTGGTTACTTGCCTATATGCAATACCTACTTATACTTATACGAATACGTAGGTATCTAATGAAAGACTCGCATTGTTTCCACAAAAATTGAAATTACTAGGCGCGTTATTAAAGATTATGACCTGGTTTTAGCTATTTTAGAGTTACAAGGTATATATGTATTTTTGCCATAATGCAGTATTTTAATAATCACTCAGGTTAAACTATTGCCAATGCGTTAGTTAGAACCCCTTGAAATTCCAAACGACCGAAAAGGAGTCGGTGGCCAGTACCGGTTCTTCTGCTGTATTTGCTACTTTCGGGGACTTTAAGTCTTATTAATTTGCAGGTGTCGAGCGGCAGTGGCAAGTCATGGGGCGTCCCAGGTTCAGTTTCCAGTTATTCCGTGGGTGCTCGCTCCGTGCCGGCTTCCGCCTCACTTTACTCCGTCACCAGTGGCGAATCGTCCCTCTCAGGTAAATACTGTAGTAAACCATAGACTTATAAAACCTAACTCAAAAACAAATTGATAATTATACCCTATGACACCCACATATAATGTAGCTTCCCGTATGGGAAAGAATTTTCATGATCGGATTAGTATTTTCGAAAATTACCACCTGCAAATAAAGAAACAAAATTAGAATGTTTACCTTATTTTAAAGTTGTAATTTATAGAATATTTAAAATAATGTAACGTTTCTAATGATATCACATAAATTAAAATAATTAAGTCAATAATCAAGAAATAAAATCTCTCACACACTTGCATACATATATAAACACTCTTTTTTTTAAGTCATTTAAAACTGAAAGAAACCAAAGTTTACACAAAAATTCAAATCTGTTTACCCATTTCCTACAAATGTTTTCTGAATGGAGAAAAAGTGCTAAAGTACTATATTAAATATATGAAATGTTCATATCAAAGCAATGAAAACAAACTGTCTAAAACAAGAAAGACTTCCCCTCATCTACACTTCATACTCGAGTCTAGAAAAAATAGAATATGTATTTACCTACTAGCGCAAAAACTAGTTTACGAATATTACTTTTTAAAATAAAATTTATTACTATGTACCTGGGTAACTGGGTAATGGGTAACTTTTACTTTTGGGTATGTTAGTGTCAAAAAACAGTTCTTTATGCATCTATTTTCATTTCAACTCCAGGAGTGTCTTCCGTATCGTCAAACAGTGGAGGGAACGCCATCAACGGGTGCTCGACGAAGCTGTGCGGAGGCGCCAAATGTGGGGGAGCATGTTTAGGAGCGGTTCCGCGGCCCTCGTCCACTTCCGCGCCCCCGCGACCTCGACAACCCGCCTCAAACTCGCTTCGGCGCTCACAGCATCATAGCATGAAGGTAATAGGCGTTTGTTGTCGAAGCGCCATCAGTTTATTACGTAAGTTGTACGGTCAGATGCACAAACGTCCATTAAGGTTTAATGACGGCTTTAAGTTCTAATGAATGTCAATTTTGTATGGGTAATATCGCTTTAAACTAATGAAAATTCTAATGGACGTTTGTGCAACTGGCTGATACTTATTAACTTAATCTTAAAGCATATTAAAGCAAAAATAATCAAAAAAAGCACTTTTTCATTAGATTCCTTATATTAATATAACGAACTCCTACCCTTCTTTTTAATATAATAATATTAAAGAGAAGGGTAGGAGTTCGTTAATACTTAGGTACTTTATTTACACTGAGAAAAAATCAAGATTACAAAAAAATCTCGCATAAAAGGGATGACACTCAAATTGTCACTCAATGAGTTCCTACTAGGCACTTTGCATACACAATCGAACAATTAGAATTATTGCCATTTCATTTGACTCTTCTCGTCTTAATATTGCGAATATTACCTACTATGACTATATCACTGAAAACAATTTTTACTTGCAATTTGATAAAAAAATTAAATAACGTCATCGAAGAAAAGAGGGCCACAACAGGAACAACAGAAATTTATAGCTAGTCTTTTGTACAAACCGTAAACTAAAAAGTTTATTTAATACTGTCAAATTTCGTTATCAATTAGGTATGTATGTAAGGTACCACCGCAGGAGAAATAACATGGAGATAGAGAAAAATACTATTAAATGCCTAGGTTGAAACACTGTTTCTACAAAGGAACAAGAAAAGGCATGACTGACCAAATCAGGATGCCGGTAAAAGCATAGCTTTAAAAATTAACCCAGCCACAGAGGTTGTCTCTGTACATCTTAGTTTTACAATAGGCAATTGTAATGCAATTTGTGACGCCCGATGTATTAAAAAGTGTTACCATTTTTCCAGGCTAGATTGCAAGAGTACCAAGTGCACAGTTATACGGGCGGACCAGCGACAGGAGAAACGTCAGGTCGACTGCCGCCCATAAGGGAGTTCCAAAGAGAGTTCCGGGAAGGAAGACGGGAGAGTGCCGCTGCTGCCTCCGCTTCCACTAGGATAAGGTAAACTTACACGAGAACCGGTTTTGGACATTTGGCACTTCAAGTTGTTCTTACTAATGCATAGATAAACATATGAACAATTTTTAAAACCGTTGTCAAAACTCACTTCTTAATAACTCCTAAAATAGTCAAAACCAGGTAATAATCTAATACCGGGTCTATATAAATAAAATGGCTAATACCGGGTCATCAACCCTACATTACGCACTGTCTACCTACAACCTCATGTAATTACGAGTACTATAATGAATATATTTTAGTTGAAATGTTAACAGAATAGTTCTAGCAAATAGTGATTATCAAAACATCAAATTCTTTTGATTGTCATGGTAACCAGAAATTATTTTAAATTTAAAGCTACAGGACTCCTGATACGAATAATAAATAAAAATTTGTTTACAGGTGCGCCCAAAAAATAGTTACACAACTAGAAACTTCACCACAAAAGAACAAACACTTTTTCCGACCACTAAAACCTTCAAATAAAGACGAACCTCCTAGCTCCAGAGATCAAAGTAAAGAGACTGAACGGAAAAAAGATAACCCCAAAACTAAACCCAAGAAAGACGAGAAAAAAAAGAATGATGAAAACACGAAGCAAGAGGATAAAAGCAAAAAGGATGAGAATAACGACAACAAAAAGAATGAGTTGGCTGAAAAGAAGAAAGAGGAGAAATTAAGGCTCAAAGCTGAAAAAGAGGCAAAAAAAGAAGCTAAACTTCAAGCTAAAGAAGAAGAAAGACAAGCCAAACTTTTAGCTAAGGAAGAAGAAAGACAAGCCAAGCTACTTGCGAAGGAAGAAAAGAAAAAGGCTAAGAAAGAAGCTAAATTGGCCGCGCAGGCGGAAAAAGAAAAAAGTAAATAAGGATAATTAAAGTTTTTACATTATAGTAACTCGTAGCCGTCTTAAATTAGATTCGAAAGTTGTTATTATTGATGAATAGTAAAAAATAATTTTGAATAGCATGTCTCTACTGAGTCTATTGTAGTCAAAATATTATATAAAGTAAGAAACTTTAAAAAATATTTTTTTACTTCAATTGGTAAATTGTAATTTGTGTTTGTGCTTTGATACATTTTTTTTTTATTTTAAGTCGTTTAGCTTAGTTGCAATTTCATTTTGAAATTGTTAATTAATCTAGTATTATTGTATATAGTTTTATTAACAAATGTTACTATGAAAAGCAATCTAAATATATAGGTAATTAGTCGTCGGGTCATAGTTGGAACTCTATAAACTGCGAAGACTGAAAGAATGGGATAATGAAATCATATCGTTTTGTAATTTAATTGTTTAACACTAAAATTAAGAGCTTGTGCATTATAGCACCGCCAAAGAATTTATTTAATTATGTAGGTACTAATTTTGTCGTACTTAGTGTGTCTATCAATCTGACAGCACCATCCTCTTGCATTTTGAAATGAATTCTTGACCCCATTGTCACTTATTTATTAATCTATTACGAAATAAGGACAAACAGCCAAGTTATCTGGGTTTGAAGATAAACGTGTCTTTTGGCGCTGCTGGGCTGACGTTAGTCGGGACAGCTGGAACTCTTCATTCATGATGAATTTCAAAAACTTTACAGGACATCGTTTATTCCTCTATTTCAGTCTGGGACATAACGGTGATAAATCGCTAACGGAATGATTTATGCAGACGGTAAACACACTTATAGAATCCAGCAGACGTGTCACATTTGACTGTGAGCTATTATTATTCCGATTCTGGGTTTTATCACCTCATAACAGTATTTGTTTACATATGACACTAGAATATTTGATTGTAGTAATTAGAGCGTTAAATTAAAATACATTGAGGTTACGTACAAGATCCTTTGCGTAATTTATTGCACTTCCTAGTACTATCGAGTAGTAAATCGCAGAATGTCAAAAATTTTAATAACTATAAATGCTCAAATGCCTTGAAGTTTTGAAAAAAATTTGCTTCTCAAGTGCTATCGTTTATCGGATACACTACAACACTGTTGAATTGACGTCGGCCCATCTCAATATTTGAGCGGCATCTCAATATTTCTTTACCATTATGTCACAGAACGCATTATTACCATTATGTCTCACACTGAGCAATGGGGAATTAAATGACCTGGAAAGATTTTTTTTAGCCCAGCATCGCCATAAAGACTGCGTTTATATCTCTGAAACTATGTAACTTGGCTATTTTCTTAATATCATAATGTACCAATAAATAAAGTACTAGATGGTTTAAGAATTCATTTGAAAATCCAAGAGGGTGGCAATGCCAGACCGATGGATATATACTTAGTTGATCCATAAAAGCTTTTAATTAGTATAAGTTACAGAATTTTAAAGTAACCAAATAATTTTCCAGCTAAATATGAAACCTTGGTAATTTTTATCATGATACATAACACAATAGCATTTTAGATTGGAGTATCAAACCGTTCCATGCCCCTTTTGTTTGTCAATTTAAATAATTCTTCTGTAAAAATACACAAATACGAAGTACCATAATGATTCATTTTTCCTAAGAAAAACTACCATAATTCAATGAAACCTTAGAAAAGTGGTTAACCATAAACTTTGCATCATATTATGGACTGTACTTAATATTTATTGTAACCCAATGTAAAGTATAAAATGTAGAACCATATCAGGTTGCATTTAGATTATGCTAGGTAAGTGTTGACATTAATTTTGTAAGAGTTCCCACATGTCGGAATTTATTATTGTCAATCGTTAGAAATTTCCTGTAAAAATAAATAACAATGTTACCATACGCAGTATATTTTATTTCACCGAAACTTGTACTTCATACCAACTATGAAATTAACATTGCAATTTTAAAGGCAAAGACTATGGTTATAAATAAATACAAAGATATAAGTAGAAGCAAAATTTATTTATCTTGTTGCACTTTCAAGTGTGATTATATGAAACTCTTCAAATGAATCAATTTTTATGCAACAATGAAAAGATTTATTTATCTACATTGAAATAATATGTAACAATATGCTTGATTACTAAAAATATACTAACACTGTTTATAAAACAACTAAATCCTTCTAATCCTTGTAGTCATCGCCAATGCGGTCATAAAGTTCATCACCAGTTTTCTTATTAATACGTAGATACTTGTTAACCATTGGTCGATAATAGTATGCTTGGTAATCATGCCTCTCACCCATTTTTTTAATGATTTCACGCTCTAGAGCTCTTAATTTAGCTTTTTGAGCTTCTTCATCAATGAAGTGCATAAACTTTTCATGTTCCTGAAAATTAATAATTTTTAATCTTCTTTATCTATTACTAAAAAATGAAGCTCAATAAATTTAGATAGAGTATTTCTAAATAATAAATAGACATTTACTTGCTGTGGATTGGTGTGAATATAACGGGCAATAAAACGAGTAATTGGATGACGATGGTACTCCCAATATTTAGGATTATATCCATCAGGAATAGGAGTTAGCTGAGCTGGGCCTATGAATACATTTGTGTAGAAGATTATCAGCCCTACAGGGATCAATCCCACCATCAAATAATAGTGGAACATATCTTTGAATTTGTGCCACTGCCATCTGAAATAAAAACAATTAATTTTATAGCATATAAATCAAAATGACAATTTATTCAAGTTAATCATTATTAATATACTCCAGAAAATTCAGAACTCTGTATATTTGAATGGATTTCTGATTAAAATTTGGTTAGGTAATCACTGCCAGTGACTGTACCTGGAGGGTTGTAATGCCATTGTCTGGTGTCCATGGCCTGCGCTTATGGCCTTACTAGTCGAAAAACTCACATTAGAAACGGAGAAGGTCGATTTGATGTTATTTTTAAATAAATTTACGCCGAAAGATCGGCCTAAAGCACTCCAAGAAACCATTTTTATTTTGACTTATTGACAATTTGCCATAGAGTGTTGCCAATGTCATTGTTAATTACCCCCTTACCTACTTTTGAATTACTTTCCCCATAAAATGTAATTATGAGAACATAATAACCAAAATAAGTATATTTTTCCAGTTATGTATGTTACTGAAACAAGTTTTAAAGGTTTTGAAAGTCATATTTTTTCGAATAATAATCAAACGCTCTATCAAGTTATGTAACCAGGTTCCTCCTATTTCAAGTTCCCACAGATCCACACTACTGTAATTTAGGGACTTCACTTGTTATTCAATAGGCTAGTTGAAAACATTTTTATTTTATAAATAATAGTCCATTAATAACTGAGAAATAATGTAGAAGTAATTGTATTTCTACGATTAATAGTTTTGGAAATACGGTGTTATGTTTGTGGAGCTGCTAGTTGGTCGAAAACGCTCCCTACAAATTCAACGCACTAAATGACGTCACAAGGTGCTACATTAATGAAAAACGTATGGGTGTCAGGCAATTTTTGTAATATCTTTATTATTTGTGCACTTATGCTTATAGCTGTTATAATGAACGATGTAACATTTAATGTAACTAATTTAATGCTGTAAGAATTTAGGTAATATATTATATGTTTGTAATATATTTTCCCTATTTTTTCAAGTATTCAAAGCGTAATATTTTTCAAATTAGTGTCATAAAATTTATTTTATAAGCTTATTATATTTATAAGTTATAAGTTGAGTAGTTCCTATTTTCTGAACACATAACAGAAACCTGCACTTTCGCTTGTAGAAAAAGGTTATTCCATATTGTCAAAGTTTTTTGGTAAATAAAGTTATTACAAGTTATTACAGGATGTTTCTTATTATTTTTTGTCAAATGGGGATAGATGAATCTGTAAGAAAAACCGGATAATTTGGCCACAATCCTGAAACAAACATTATTTTTGTGAATAACATTTAAGATTTAAATTTCAAACCTTTTATTACAATACTTATCCCTTTATATCTACACTATATTTTAATTTACCGTACTTAAAATTTTTACAGTACGTGGTATACACTATTAATACTAGACATTTTGTTTGCAGACGGGTTTAATTACCTACTTCATGTTAGTTTTTAAAATCAACGTCATATAGATACAGTTACAGTTAAGTTCATAGTGGTATTCTCACCAAATAATAAGGATAGTCTAATCGAAACATTTGGCTGTTTCTGTTTCATTGGCTGAATATGTCATTATTATGAAAAAAGATCTTGAGGTTGGAGATACTAAGCCTAGTGTTTTTGAACGAGCGCAATTCTTGTGTATTTTAAAATATTTAAAAAGGAACACTATCTGATTCTGATATTGTGACTTAACATATGTGACGTCTCATATTTGTATATTTATTTATTCAAAATTAATTAATCTATTTATATTTACAAAAACAATAAAAACTTACACTGAAACTTATAAACTAGCTTATTCTAAACAAACCTTTAAAATTACCTATATCTATATACTTACAATTATTAATCAAAACAATAATATTTATGATATATACATTACTACATTAAAATAATACAAATACAGGTTATCTGTAGCCATTGCGGAATTTTGACATATTGTGGTGTGCAGTTGTGTGTTCGTACATACATTATAGATTGATTTTGTGAAAATCCCCTAAATTTTAGGGTCTTCGCTCTAGTTGGGCAACATAGAGGTTACTGTCAGACTGAGGGAACTATGGACTTTTTTCTCGACTTAATTATTTATTTAGACAAAAGAATTGAGCACATACAGCCATCGTCTTTGTCATAATTTCTTTATTTTGAAATGATTTTAAACTTATACACTATCAGAGAATTTAATAGACCATGAATTTGTCAGTCAAGCAGCTCAATTTTGTCAGTAATCGGTTAGTGTTCCTAGATTTGCTAAAACTAGGAACAAGTAAAACAACTGACATACATAGTAACTAACACAGGCAAGAATATTACGTGTTAACTCTATGATTTCCACATGTGTGTGATGTCAATGATGTGCATGGACTTCTTCTACTTCCTTTTTTAATTCATGGCCTATTTGCGTTCACACAATACTGCCAATGTCCCGTTTATGGTCTTTATACGTAAAGAAACAATAATAAAATATGACAATTTTGAATATAAATAATATAAAAAAGCTCTGAGTGGGTCTATCTAACAGGTCAGAGTACTCCCAGCTGAAAAGCGTGCCGAGCGAGATATCAAGTACAGATGTTTTTGTCCCTTTTACTAATAAGGCGACAATAACATTATAGGTAAGTAAGACTTATCATATGATGGTTTAGTTTTTAAAATTACAAACAGCAATTAAAAGTATACTTTAATTAATAATGATAAGGTTAATTTTTTAATTACAATTTTTCGCAGTTTTGAGTCCTGTTATAAGTATTAAGTCCGTGGTGATGTGTAACCATAGATTTATTATTTATAATCAAAAACAATATATAAAGGAATTTGTTAACTATTTACTTATACAAAATGGCGCCAAATTTAAAATAATATAGATAAGTTCGTTCTGCAAAAAGATTATCTTAACAATAAAGTACTTAATTACTTAATTTATATATGATACGATTGGTTATTTTTACATATAAAAAATATAAATTTGAAGAAGGTTTGATACATTATCTCATTATAGTTAAACATATCATATCTAATTTTGATACTTGGATTAAACACCATTAAGCAAACTTCATGGCTTTTAATTTTTTTCATCAAAGTACCTGTTGCGTCTAAAGAAAAATACAACATAAATTTGCTTCACGGTATTGATTTTTGTACCGAGCATGCCCTTTGGAAACAGTGCGACTACGTCAGCGGGTGATAAGCCAACATAACTCAACACCCACTCGAATATAATTAAAACGTACTATTTATTTCATTCTTCATATTTATAAACGTAAATAAACTGCTATTAAACCTTTTTTAACATATTTGCTGTCGTATATATGAAATGCCTAGTTTTTGTGAAAGTGTTAAGTTTTCGTAATGGAGGAATTACTTCAAGACGTATTCAAAGAAGCTACTGGACCCAAATTAGCCCCTTTGCGGAAAGCTTGTCAAGATGCTTTAGGTAAATAAGTTAACCGTACTTCTAGTATTACTTTTTTATTCTTCCAACGGCTATTACTTTAAAATTAATAATAACAATAGATTATAACTTTTGAACTTTCGCGTTGCATTATTTTAGAATTTTACTAGAAATATAGATAGGTGAAAAACCTAACTATCAATCTATCGCGTTAATACCCGTTTCATACAATCTCACAATAAATTAGTCAGCGTGTCTTGAATTCACTCTCGTGTAAGCTAGTTTGAACTATGCCTATATAAGTATATAAATCTCATACTAATCATAAGATAGAACACTTTAAAATCTAAGTGATTTTTGTTGACGACTATAAAATTTTCGTCAAAAAAATCTTCTCCATGTTCTATCATAGAGTATCAATTTCCACTATCGCTTTTCCTCAGCAAAAGTTAGAAGTTGTGCTCAATAGATGAAATTAGTAGATAACAGGTGGTATACGGCGTTCCTGGAAGCCAGAGCTTTTAGCAATACATACCAGTAGTATAAAACAGTTATCTATGGTTTCGATAATAAACTACATATCTTAGCCTATCTTACTACGATCAACAACCTACCCTACTTCAATGAACAACCACTTCTTATTCTAAATTAATGTACCGAATTGATACATCAATTGTTTTTATAACGCCCATTAAATACGTACTCAGCAGAAAAAGTGCATTAATTCAAACAGAATCTCGTTACCAATAAAGTTGTATATTTTTTTTAAATAACCTGTTTTTTTACAGAAGCACTATGCTTACAAGAAAGCAATGCTCGTCGACCATGCTACGAGTTGCGCAGAATCTGTCTGTTACCATTGCAAATAGCATTGGAGAGCAAAAGACCGAGATTGGTCACCTTTGCCATACAGGGCTTCCATGTAAGTGCATTTTAACTTGTTTATAAATAAAAATAACACACACATCTCCTTGATAATAAATCATGCTTGTATAACAACAAGTATTAAGTGAGGCATTGCTGAAACCAATAACGGAAGTAAATATTCAATACATGTCTGCACAGCTATAGTGTTAGCAGCTTCATAAGTAGGCAACTACGTATACTTAGGGCTTCTTAACATAAAATAGATTGGTACTATAATATTTATTTGTCTGATACGTAAAAAATGATGATATTTATTACCGTAGAAAATGCTACGTGACGACAGATTCCACAGAGGCATCGAACCTGAAGATGATTCTCTATGGATGCCTTCACAATTATTTTGCGCTACTGCCTCTGTGATGTATCATTTGCCAGAAACGCAGGTACCCAACTCTTTTCTATTGCAAACAAACCTACTTATTTTTTTCCAAATTAAAGACAATAAATTGCATAAATCGATCACAAACCATTACTTTTCGGTCATATAACTGTAGTTTTTGTTTATTCAAAACGTTATTTTATTTACTTATACAATTGTATTGCTTTGGTATCGAACAATCTACATTCAAAATCAACTATAAATAATATTTCAGCAAAATTTTCAAGGATTTTCCCTATCTTTTCAAAACAAAAAACATTTGATGTACTAAGCTAACAATGGTTCAAAGTTAGTAGTCCTTCGAGCCGGACATGAATCAGTGAGCCATGGTGTTTAATTTTATAAAATATTCCGTGAAATATAGGTGCAAATATTCCGAATGTACCTGTCGCTGGCTCTTTCTCCTCGGCGAACACTCAACGGCCGTTTGTGTGTGTGGGCGTGCGGCCGATGTGGGGAAGCGGCTGCTGCTACTGCTCCTGTCGCTGCTGCCGCTAGAGCTGCCGCAGCGCAAGCTCTGAGAGCTTATTGCGCACAACTAGGTTACCAAATTTATTTTGGATCCCACTTGTCATTCCAGAGTACATAATGTGTAAAATTTATTTATGAAAATATTTATGCAAGTTATAAAATCAGAAACAGATTAACTTGAAATACAAAAACTTTTTCTCATTGAGAGTTTGGAGTATCTAGTTAAAACACAATATAATAGTAACAAACCTTCAAAAGACTTCAAACTAGAATGCCGGAAATATTTTAAATGCATCCCTACTATGAAATTTATGACACTTACATTAACATAAACATACTGAAAGATAGTCTTCAGGTTTAGGTGAAAGATGATCTGAAAATGAACCCATTGACTAATAAGTAGCTGACTACTAAGTATAGATTGTGAACACAATAATCATAACGCTTAAAATAAGGAATCTGGTGAATTTTCCATAACATAAAACATAGTTTTATTTGCAGACGAGGAATATCAAGAACTGTTTTCAGAAGGATCACCTTTGGGCAAGAATCATATAGTCGCTGTTAGTTGTTATAGTGAAGTTATACCAGTCATACAATACCTGTGCAGTAGGCTATCCGAAACACAGATGTAAGTTAACCTTTATTTAATTACTCGGCTAATGATATCCTTATTTTACTTTTTTTATAGAGCAAGAAGTCCTATGACTGTCCAACTTTTGTTATTCATTCCAGGGTACCAAAGCAGAATCCACTAGCATTATTTTTTCTAGACTGTCTCCTCACTCTAATGTCAAGTCTTTCCGAGCGCGTGAGCAGCAACTCACATTTCACCACATTCCTTTGGCAGAAGTTTTGCCCTTCCCTCATATCGTTCTTGGGTACTCCGAGAGTCGATAAAAATATAAAATCAAGGTAAACAGCTCACAAGATATTATGTTATGTTATATATTCCCATTATCAAGTATTGGATATTTTTTTATTACAGAGAACATGAAGGCCATTTAGTAGATGATTCTGGAAGAGGATCTGGTGCATTAAACAGTGCACCAAGTTTTAACAGTCGTCAAGCTAAGACCATATATAGGTAAAGATATTTATTTATTTAACAACAACTAACCAGCTCTCTAGTATAATGCCTATATATAGGCATAGCAAAATAATGATGCTTTTCCATTGCAGTTTTTATTAAAATTTGTGTCATTATTATAAACAGTTAGAGGTATATAAATAATTATGTAGATCAATATAACATATCTGATGCGACTATTACTCTAAAACGATCATGCTTACCAGTAAAGTACTTATTCCGTTTTTCGATTCTAGTATAGCCAATCAACTGGTCAGATTGGTAGGCTCTACTTCGAACCTGCGACCAGTATTGGAAGCACTCTACCATCGCATGTTACTGTACCCGCCCGTAGCTCATAGAGTGGAGCCATTGAGAAGTGTAAGGGAATTGTTACACAGCCCGAAGCGGCTCATCCAACTAGTTTTGCTGAAAAAGATGGACCATCCCGAAAGGCACAGCGATGATATGGCCATAGTTAGGTTGTAAGTATTTTTCTTAACTCATTTATAAGCCAGGGTAATATGTTCGTCATTTTGGCTATTTGGAGTTTAAATTTGAATAAAAACAACCTTACCATGAGCAACAAATGATGAAAAAAATATTCTACTTAAATTTCTACTAGGGCAATGTTAATATCATCCTGCTATGATCACCGTAATTACATCGTAAAAAATATTGTGCCCTTAAGATTTCATAGAATTTTGCTTCAGAATAATGGATGGCATCGAAGATTGTGGTCGTACTGGAAATCCTGAGGTAATAGCTGCAGCTGTCGAATGCGTTGTTTCCCTCCTCGATGCATTAGAGAAACTTTGCATTAGTTCTGGAGAATACATGACGGCAGATGTCGCTACGTTAGTTCTACAACACTGGCCGAAACTGCAAGATGCGGATTATTCTGGACCACTCACTTATCAAACATTGGCGAGGTTACCAAGTCCTTATCGGTAATTTAATTGTACTTTTACAAATGTATAAACTACATTTAAAAAGACGTCAAAGGTTTTCTCAGATATTTTATAAAATGTAAGCGTCTAAAGTATTTATGTATCTACATTATCAGCATTTTATGTCCTGGAAAATAATCCACTCACAAGGATAAAAACAAATCGGTTTGTATAAATGACAGCAGATCTTCGAGCAACCATCAAAATACAGCTATTAAAAAAATTTGAAAAATTGAAAATGCTCACCATTTTGTTTTCGATGATTAATAATTGAGATACACAGGGTTAAATTGCAATTAAATATTGAATTATAGATACTATAGAAGAAGAATAGCGGGAAGTGTGATAAAAATATAATTTAAAACCTTTTAATAATTTGATTCTCACGTCAAAATAAGACATACATAGAAGATGTTACCATAAAAATTCTTAAAGAAAGTTGGACATGCTTTATGATCAACTATAATTTTTGTATTATATTTGTTTATTTCAGAGATGTCGTAGCTGTACTTCAAAACAGTGAAGAAAAAGGCCATGACTCTTCAGGTAAACAAGTCTGATTACAATAGATTTTACGATATACCAGACTTTGTTAATACGATATAAAGTTAAATTTTGACAGATACATCTGGACCAGAAAATGTCACTTCAGGCAGCGATGGCGAGGCAGATTCAGACGCCGATAATGTATTCTTGCCTACTCGAGCAAATAACCCTTCGTCTTCTGAAGAATCTGAGAAAGAAAATGTATCAAAAGTCAAATTGGTGCCTAAAACTCTCAATTTAGGAAGGTAAACCAATCCATAATCTAAATTTGCTCCATGACCTATCAGTGCAAATAAATGAATGAATACATTGCGATAAGCTTTCACTTTTTTATAGTTGGAATTTATAAAGAAAGTTTGATTTCTGTTACCAGCCAATCAATTTTTTGGTATCTTTGCAGAATAAGATCTCCTTTTCAAAAGATTCATTAACTTTATTTTAATTTAAGGTGTACAGTTACTGAATGTAACGTCGATTTGGAGCGTCATAACGCAAGACAATTTGTGAAGACATTGCAGAACTCGTTGCTCCCAAAACTCATAAACCTTAGAACGTGTATCGAGGTGAGTTTGCCTGCGACCAATTTAATATGTATTTAAAGTGTCCATGTATTTTACTGTATATTTGCAATAAATTTTGCCCAAATTCTTTCTTAAAGTCAAATTCAGCTGAGCCTTCTATATCCTACAATCTAAATTGCAACAATATTCATGTTTAGTCGCGCAATCTCTTATTAGACTCTACTAAATTATAGGTAGATGAGGCTATGCAGGAGTTTGCATCGAAGTGTTGTCAACATAACGCGGCCCAACCGCCGGCTACTGCTTGTATTATGAACGCGGATGGTGTATACCTCGCCACCTATGCTGCTTTACTTCTAAATCTACGTCAACGACGAACTGATTACTATACAGGGAACGATGTGAGTAATAATCACCTTTTGCGAAGTATGATAATCAATCGCTGTGGTTGAATCGACCCTATGATTTCATGGTATCAGCATTTCTGAGAATTAAACTACGAGTTTTTATCATTCAATAATGGGCAATTACAAAGCCATTCGTATTTATAAATTTTTGCGTTCCAGAAATTGCAGGTGTCCATGACGGAAGATGAATTTGTAGACGAAGTACAAGGCAGCGGTGTGCTCGTATACCTATCAGCAACATGGCTTCGGGAAGTGTACCAGCAGGTGCTATCAAATGATCTACTTAAAAATGTGCCCAGCACAGAACATCCACTACTCCATTTATTGTCAGGTAAACGAGAGCTCTTGTATCGGATGGCAATAGCTTAACATATATAAATACTTTCTTGGGTCCTACTTCTCAGAAGGAGTCATAGTAAGTTGCCTAGCAAATAGTATTATCTAACCCGTGCATTTCAATTAACCAATATGATATCAAAATTATGAAAAAGAGTTATCATTACACTCAGTACCTATGTGTCACATATAACACACATACTTCTCACCCTATTTTGGTCGCCAATATTTGAAAGCTCCCTAAAACAGTTAGAGCATTTTTTTATACCAAACCTCACATCCTTGCGCCTCATTTCAGATCTCGGAGGCTTAGACCAAAACCCAGTTATGTCAGATTGGCAAAAATTGAAAGAAGTCTCTATGCTCTATAGTAACACTGATGAATCGCCACAACATCAAGCCAGCCTACGTTGGACAAGGAGGTAAGGTAACTTAAATGTCAATTTATTGTTCGCCCTATATCCAAATTCATAACTGCCTTGTAAGAACATAGAAGACAAATTCAAATTACTTATATACCAAGTGTCTACTTAAGATGTCATCAAAATAATTGAATCCCTGAATTAAGGAAATTAAATTATTTTCATTCTAAAATCCTTCCACTTCAGCGACTAAAATTTTTTCCATTAGTGTTAAACTCGTTTATTTAATTTTTACCTTTGCATCATGGGCCCTAAATTGTTTCAGAATATTGACTTGCATCTGGGAGTCTATGGTCACGGTACTGAGCGTACCTTTAACGTGTCATAAGAATCGTAAACAGAAATTACAGGGGATATTGTCCAAGAAAATAAACTCTTTTGGCAGGAGAAAACGTATTGCTTGGGAGGCACTGACTATTCAATGTCTAGAAGGGTTACACAAGGTATTTAGTATTAATTTGTAAAAATCTTATGATAAAAAGACACCAAATAATATGGTCTGCTTCTTTATCTGGTTTGTAGCTCGAATTTTTAATCGTATTTCTAATAAAAATTTCTATTAGGCTATAATGTGTTTATCCCGAGTAGTCAATATCATAATAAATATATATTGTAATATAATCAAAATATCAAAACATTTGAAGTGGATTATAATAAAATGGCTATTTCAGGCAGCCAGAGTGAGCAATACGTTGAGTTTACAAAATCGTTGCAGCAGTATATTAGCCCTGCTTGCTCATTCAGCTATATCCCAACCACCCAACGGCAAGATATTATCAACACACGCACTATCATTGGATATACTAATTACTGGTAAGTATTGATTTGATAACTATATACATATATATGAGTTAAAAAATATTGGCCATCCGTATGAATTCGAAAATACCACCAAAAACTTCTGGAGTTATTATAATTTCAATATTTCCACTTTTATCGCACTTGACTTACGGTCAGTTGCGCAAACGTTCATTAAGGTTTAATGACGCCTTTAAGCTGTAATGAATGTCAAATTTGTGTGGATAATGTCACTTTAAATTAATGAAATTTCTAATGGACGTTTGTGCAACTAGCTGTTAGATTGTTTATAATAAACACATATTCCTAATAATTATATTTGCTCTATTTTGCATTCGCAATGCTATTCTGAAAAATATTCCTAATGCACTCTGAGATGGGACCCAGAGATGTATCTCAGAATGACAAAGAGTATTTTTTGTATTTTTAAGCATTTTTGATTAAGAATATATTACTAAATTGGCGCCCAACATCGTGTTTCATAATTTAAAAAAAAACATAAGGTTGAACGCCAATATTGTGTTCATCAAACAACTTTAGCTTATAATCTCTAGTAACTGCGATTATTATTTTTTTATTTAAACATTCTACATCATCAGGTGGCTTAGAATTAGGTTCGAAGGCGCCAGAGTGTTGGGAGCACATATTCGCGGCATGCCAATACGTATCCAGTTTCGAACATACGTTGTTCGGACAACAGGGCAACAACGCTACGCCCATCATCACTATGCAGACTGCCAGAAACAAGACAGTCTCTGTGTTACAGACGGACGCAAAGCTACCACTGGACGGCAGAGATGATGAGACTTGGTGAGTTACGTCTTTCCTTACTTTTTTAATAATTTTATATTATTAAGTGCTATAATTTTTATTGTATTATATATTCAATATCACTAGCTTATTTAAAGATATTTTTACTCATTATTTTAATAATAACTGAAATAACTATTAAGTTGGATCAAATTACAGATACATATGAAATTTCAATAAAATCGATTCAGTAGTTTCGAAGCTTAACAATGAAGTTGGTACATCGTAACATAAGAAGTTCATATATATAAAGATAACAAAGGTATTAAACATAGGGTAGTTTTACCTCCTAGGATGAATAAGACACCAGACTATTCAGCATTCCCGATGTCTTTTATCAAAAGCACCATGCATTAACACACGCGCACTCAATGGAGGGAGAGGTATACATCCACTCCACAAGACAAGCATACCCGCAATCTCCTTCGCACTTTGAAGGATGTTGAGAAATCTTGCTGTTTGACTCCATATAATTTCTACGTCATCTAGTACTTAATTCGGCAAATTTAAGCTACCTTTATAGATTTCATATTTCGTCTACTGTAGCCTGTCCTTGTGACAATCATTCTCCTCAGAATCCTAAACATATGGTGGAAAAGTGTGTGTATGTGTGTGTGTGTGTGTGTGTGTGTGACGTATCGGATTATGCGACTACCTGAGTGTTGCTCCCTTTGACTTTCAATGTTTGAGGTCAAGACAGCAGCACTTAAGTCTTTCACAGAATTCGTAGTCAAAATATATTCATAACTGAAATCATACAATAGATACATCGTTAGAAATTAATTTAAATATTTTTAAACCTATTTTTTGTTTTTGGGTGTTTCATTTTTTTCGTGCATATTACACGTCCAGCCTTAAAATCTAAACTTATCCATAAAATATCTACATTATTTATAACGGAAATCAAAATTTATAAAGTTAAGCTTGCATGCATATAACATTTACTGATCAAAGTAGCGTAATTAATAAATTATAAGTAAAAAACTTTGTAAATTCTCATTGCCATCGGTGTCCATTTACTATTATCCTCTTTATATTTATATATTACTCAAAAACTAGATTAAAAATTGGAAACAAAGTTAACATACTAAAAATCTATATTAAAATTACAATGTTTTAATCTAAAATTAGTGCCGTTATCAAAGAAAAATCATAGTTTTTTTATATCATAAATATTTAACATTTTTTTTCTGATTACCATCGGTTTGTGAGGAAATCTAAATTATACTCTGTGTATCATCTTTAACACTGCTACAGCACTACCAAGTACATCACTCAGTCGGCCAGCAAACGTTGTAGAAGACGTACGCTTGTTCATGGTAAAACAATATTTTCGTTAAATATTGCGCGGGAGTTGATTATTCTGGAATTGTTCTCTTTCTTATCGTCCGTATTACTAAGTGAGTATTAATAATTTTGATAACCATATTGCAAATTTACATTTCTTTGGATTACCTTTGTTGTTTGAAATATACACTAGTTTCGTAATTTTGATATCCTATAAAAAATCTTGAATTAACTATCCAATCCTCATTACCATTTTCCTCATTGCCTTCGTTTACCATCGTTTTTTAGAGCGACGGTAATGAGATCAACACGAAGGCAATTAGAATAAATTTCTTAATCCATATATATTTTTTACATTTTGTGTTTTCATTATTAAAATTATTAAATTTAATAGAGATTAAAATTCAACCGTTTAAAATGTGAATGTACTTACATTCTATTTATTTTCACAGATGACCAAGCATAAAAATTCCGAAGAAAACCAAACAAACAATAGAGCAGAAACGAGAGCGTGATCGACTACAAAAGCGAAAAAAATATGCAGAAATTAAGGAAGATCCTGAGAAGTATGTAGAACAAGAGGCAAAAGAAAGAGCAAGATACCTCAAAAGAAAAGAACAGAAAAAAATTAAAGACGCACAAGAAATGACACCGAGACAATTAAGAGCTCAGAGAAAAAAATGGAGAGTTAATTCGAAAAGTCATTATGAAAGAAAAAAGAAAGAAAAAGCTATACAACAACTATTACTTGAAAATTCCCCACCAAATAGTGACACTGAAGTACTTCCAGCTGCTGATCAAGATCCTCTCGATAGACCTGCTCTAAATATTCCTAGGCCATTCTTTGATTGTATGGATCGTGATACCTGTCAACAATGTCTAAAAAAAGATATTCTTCTTAGAAAGTTTCGCTACCGACATAAAAAAGAGATTGGAATTTTGAAACTAGAACTAGAAAAAACAAAGAAACAGAAAGATGCCCTTAGAAAAACGTTTTACAGAATAATGAAGAATAAGACAAAAAAAGAAAATATATCTACTGAAGAAAAAATAGAACATTTGATAGAAAATGTGAACACAGAAAAACGTGAGGAAATTAAAAAGAAATTAGTATTTGGTGAAATTCTGTCAAGAAGTATCGGGGAAGGATATAAGTCCTTGAGAAAAAAAGACAAGAAAGAATTCTCTAATATCGTTATGTCTGAAAAAGAAAATTTTAAATAACATAAGCTCTTAACAAGGACAAAAATATTCACGGTAAGAGATAAAAAAGAAACTAGAACAGATAAGAATGAAAACTTAATAGAACAACAAATTTCGGAATTTTTGACGATGACGCAGTAACTAGAATTGCAGCTGATAAAAAAGAATATGTTACTAAAAATAAAACAAGAAAGCAGAAAAGATACTTGTTAGATATATTAACCAATCTATACAAAAAGTTTAATCAATATTCAAATATCAAGGTAACATATCAAACTTTTTGTAAATATCGACCATTTTGGGTTTTATATCCAAAGGAATCAAATAGAAATACATGTGCTTGCAAAGTGCATATTAATTTCAATTTATTGGTAAAATGCCTTAATATAAATAAAATATTAAAAGAAGTTAACGGGACAGGTATTTTAGAAAGTTTGTGTTGCAACTCTAGTGATGAAAATTGTTTGAATCGATCATGTATGATATGTAAATTAAAAAATTTAAATTACGCTGAATTCCGGAATGATAAAAAGATAAAATATCAGCAGTGGTGTACTTGTTCTGAGAAATATTACATAAAAGAAACTGAAAAAACAAAATTGGTAACAAAAAAAGTAACAATTTATGATTTCCCAAGAAATATAATAATCAAATTAGAAAACTGTCTTGAGGGCTATACGAAGCACTGCACTAATATTTTAACTCGATATAAAAATATTAAAGAGCTTAAAAACAATATTACTCCTCAAGAAGTAGTGATACATGTGGATTTTAGCGAGAACTACTGCGTTAAGTATAACGAAGAAATCCAAAGTTATCACTTTGGATAACTTTGTGGGAAGTAGGAAGCAGATAACACTTCACACATGTGCCATCTACTTGATAGATCCCGAAGTTGGCATTCAAAAACAATATAGCTTTGTTACTATAAGGATGTACTCAACATGATGCTGCAGCAGTCTGGGCACATTTGATACCGACGATTGGGTATGGTATGGAAATTTCAAACGAAATAAATACCGTACATTTTATTTCTGACAGTCCAACAAGTCAATATCGAAATCGTTATATATTTTATATGATTACCCAACTGTAGCGTGATTTTCCTCAACTGAAAGCTGTAACTTGGAACTACTTAGAAGCCGGACATGGCAAAGGGGCACCAGACGGTATTGGTGCTGTTCTAAAACGAACAGCGGATCAAGTAGTCCGTTTTGGCAGTGATGTGGACTCATTAGAAACATTCGTAGCTTGTCTAAGACCTAGAGTAAACATTGAGATTCGCATTGTTACTAAAAATGATATCGAAGCAAGAAGTTTTCCCACGGTTTTAAAAGCAATAAAAGGTACAATGACGGTGCACCAAGTCCTTTGGTCATTCGGGAGTTCTATAATGAGTTTAAGGAAACTAAGTTGTGTTCTGTGTGGCAATAAAGATATTTGCAGTCATGGCAAACATTTAGGCTGTTATGATATTCCTATAATTGAAGACGTTAATAATAACCAATTTCAGAATTTCCTTGATGAAAATACAACACCAGAATTAATCCAAGAAATTAACGATGCAGGACTTTCAGTTTCGCGTTCTGACCCATTGAACAACCACGAGCTTCGGTATTCAAACAGGCCGTATTCACCGAAAGTCAAAATATTATCGGATATTAATGTGACTGACTGGGAAAATAGAAAATTTTATATTGATAAAAGTGAATCGGTTTTGAATAATTCATATCAAACAGATTTTGAGAAATTCATTCTATATAACAGAGAAAAAGAAGATGATGCCAAAGAAACCGAGTTGTGTGAAAAGAAAAACAAAAATAAACTGATTAATTTTTGGAGTGATGATTCCGATGAAGATATTTTCTAATATGAAAGATACAATTTGTTTAAATTTTTTAAATTAAAATATTTTATTTTTTGTAACAGAGTCTGTTTTTAGTTTCTAAGGAAGAATATTATTGATCTTTTATTTCCAAATAAAATATTTAAAAAAAATGCATATTAAAAATTATTATTTTATAACAGACTTTTTATCATTACCTTCTATTTATATTCACTACCTTCGTACTATTTCCCTTACAATATCATTACCATCAATGACGTTCTCACTACCATCAAATTGTGATTATTTGAATAATTTTAATTTCATTATTTCCTCCTCCAGAAAGGTAGAAACTACAGGAACTTGAAGAGTTAACGATATATTAACAATATTAGAAAAAAAAAACAAAATTATTCGACAATTAATTTGGATTATGATAATGTCATGGAATTTGCACGAACTACGCGAAATACCCTTTTACATTTTGTCTCTTTTTTTTCTCTTCCTTTCGGCTATCCTTCCTGTTATTTTTCTACACTGTGGCTGTATCACAGACGGCTTTAGTGTGGATTGAGTTTCACAATATTTATGAATTTGCCAATTTACTTCAAAACCGCCAAGCATTAAAATCAGTTTTTATAAATAACACAATAAAAATTAACAACGCGGAGAAAAAAAAACAATGTTGTAAGTTGTTAAAGTTGTTTATTATTGTCCGTAGCGTGGACGTGTTCAACTTCTTGCAACCGGTGCTTGAAACAAACATGAACAACGAAATGTCTGTCTCCAAGATAGTTGAAACTTGCAGACAAGAGGTACACTCTCATCCAACATTTAATGCTCTATAACTCGGTATTATTATTTAATTGCTATAATCAGATCAATTGCTTTTATTTTGCTGCATAGACTACAACCAAATGTATAAAAAAAAAATACATATGAGTATATCAGAGAAGCAAACAAACAAATGAGAAATGATCATTCAAAAGAATTTGTAAGTGCCTAGTTGAACAACTTAATAGATAAACGATAACATGTAAGCAATTCCAACTATAGTCAAGTAATTCAGCAATTACAGTAAGCATAAATATAAGTCATGGAAAAAAATAATAAGTGATTTGTACAGCAAGGCGGAGCGGTAATCACCGGGGCAAGTGCAGCCCGTGTGTGTTGTGCTCTAGCTGCCGCAGCCGACGCATTGTTCACTAGACTGGCCGCTACCACCACGCTGCCCACACTGACAGCCGCGCTACAACGACTCGTGGCCCACCAACACCGACTGGTCAGTTATAATATAAACTGTTTACTGGAATTACCACCACCACCGCGCTGACCAGACTCATTGTTGCACTACTCGACTCGTGGCCCATCCACACCGTCTGGTCAGTTAAAGGTAATGTGAACTGTTACCTAGACTTATCGCCACCACCGGGCTGACCAGACTCATTGCTGCACTACACGGCTCGTGGCCAATCTACACCGAATGGTCAGTTGTAGGTAATATGAACTGTTCACTAGATTTATCGCGACCACCGTGCTGTCCCCACTTATAACAGCGCTACAACGATTGGTGGCTCACTAGCATCGACTGCTCGGTCACAACCAACACCCAAACACAAAACACAAAGACTGGATAAGCACGCAAAATAACAATATCAAATTGCGACAAGGAAAACGAAATGTTTCAAGCTTAGAAAGCGTGTAAAATTTTTGCAGCTGTTTTCGTCGTGGGACCAGGACGTGACCAACAACAATGCCTGGTGGCGTCGCAGCGGTCACGTGGGTGGAGCGGGTGAAGCGCTACGAGCGCTGTGTCGCGGTGGTGATGTAGCGCTACGTTGCTTGCGTGCCGCGCGACCGCTAGCACATAGAATGGCCATCTGGAGCTGCTACGGACCGCATCTAATGCAGGTATATATATTTTATTTATTTAATCTTTATTGCCAAGTTACAGCAAATGGCGGACTTTGTGCCGGAGGCGTTCTCTACCAGTCAACCGGTGAGGATAAACAGAAAATTTGTAAGGCAGTGACAATGATAGTTAATTAGCATTTTGACATAATTAATATTCGAACACATATATATACATAAATAAATATACAGTAAAATAAACAGTCATGTGAGATTCGAAAGTCAGGAAAGATTAACTTTTAGATAGTGTTCTCGTGCTTTTTCTTAAATACTAACCTATTCGGAGCATTTCGTACGTCCAGAGGTAGTGCATTCCGTAGTCGTATAGCAGTAAGAGAAAAAGATTTATAACAAACATAGAATGATGAGCAGGAGTCTGCATATATGGAGATGTAATCAAGTGTTGTGTTATTGTAAAGCTATATTAAATTACGTGAATAGTAATTTTGATATTGGATACTTTGGAAACAATGTTAACAAACATTTATGGTGAAAGTTAAAATAAACTGAGTGGAGTGGATATGTTTGAGCATTAAAACCCTAAACGTATTATTAATCATATAACATACGGATAGTACGAGTATAATCGTCCACACATAAGCAGTAGATTAAGCTCTTTTTGATCTTATAGACGTACTGAATATTACCAATAAACTGTATAACGAAAATTTGGTTTTGTAGGCGGCGTGCCATAAGGACATCCAAATAAGCTCTATGGCGATCCAATGCTTACACGACTGTGCCACTGCATTACTCAGTCAACAGGTGGAACTTCCACACTTCCACTTCAACGAGGCTTTGCTCAAGCCTTTTGAGAACCTACTCTGTTTGGAACTCTGTGATGACGACATACAGGTTTTTGCCTTCTTATTCAATCTATATAAACATATATAAAATAATGGTATCCTTTTTTCTTTCAAATTTTGTTACTTGAGTCAATAAATAAAGAAGTCAATAATGTTATTTTACGATAAGATTGACTACAAGTTTATTGATTTCTAAATTCCTTTTAAAATAGATATCATAGAAATAAAGATCATGTTTATTAATTAATTCAGTTTAAATACTTTCAGGAACAAATAATATCCTGCATTTGCGAATTCGTGGAGACAAGCAGAATGGAAATCAGATCTGGTTGGCGGCCACTTTTCAATACCCTTAGGGCAGCAAATAACTCTAACCAATACTCCGCCATATTGGAAATATTCAAAGTCTTCCTTGGTACTGACAATACTCTCGTCTTTGCCAACGCAGCTTTGGACTGTATTTTATGTCTTCTAAGCCATATTAAAGGGTTACATTACGATGAAGTACAAAGCATAGAAGTCAAACCTAAAAAACCTCCTCCTCAACCGAAACCAAGCCTTAGCCTCAAATTTTCGAAGAACAGTAAATTTATACCACTTAGCGAAGAAAAGTCTGAAAAAGTAATCGTGAACATGTGTAGAGAAGCACTTTATCATTTAGAAAGTTGTGCTGATATTCTAACGATGATGTATAATATGCCCAAGTGTCCCATATTTAATACCGGAAACAGAATCAAAGGCGATTTACCACTGTCTGTAGTTGACCCGATAATACCAAGTGGATCTCTAGATATAACCAAATACATTATAAATATACCTTGCGAGGAAGAGTCTATTTCGTATAAGAAATTATCAACCAGTTTGCCATTGTCGAACACAACTAATAATTGTTTATTGAAACTCGATAGACCCAGTAATATTCTCAAAGTATGGTATGTACTCATAGAAGGATTAATTTCTGCTACAGTTGTGTGTTCCAAGAAAAATCAACCAGCTGCTATGGAAACTCTTTTTAAGCTTTTGAAAAATATCATCGAAGTACCTGGTACTCATTTTGGACTTCACTGTATTAATCACTTGCTACTACCCACGGTGCAAAACTGGCTTCGTCAAATAGCGAATGTCAACACTCATTGGGATAGTGTGATGCCAAACTTTAAGCAATGTTGCGGAATGACAACAGATACTATAGTGGTATATCTTCATCATCTACAACAAATTAACATTGAAAGATCAGCGGCCGAAGAAAATCCTGATATAGGTGAAATACAGCCGTTTGAGAGTGTTGAAGCAACATTTGCATTAAAACAAATAATGTTAATACTGGTAGAGTGCATAGCTCAACCACAGGAGCCAATAGCGAGACTAGGAGCATCGTGCATACGACATATTATTTTAACATCAGGACATTTGTTGACCGATAACCAATGGGAAGTCGTTTGCACAAGTCTTCACAGAGCTTGTAATGTTAGTCTGACTCCGTTGAAGCAACTAACTTATGCTTTTAAAGAAAATTCCAATAGTTTCTATGGTGATTTGGCAATCGTGAAAGTAGCAGCAAGACGAGACTGCTCAGTTAATGATAACGTGAGGTTACATGCAATGGCCCAACAAGTCTTTCTTACTGAATATCTCAAAAGTGATAGTCATGTAAAATTAACGCCAAAAAATTCGTTACAAAATTTGATGTTGATTGACGACAGAAGTTATATATTCTTGATATATCTTCAAGAATCTATAAATTCATTAAATCCAGAGTTATACACTGTTCGAATTCCACATAGAGGGCTCGTCGTGGGCTTGTTAGCTCATCAAATATTAGTTCAAATTATTGCTACAGTTCTTATCCAGGCATCTTCCGACGTTTTTTATGGCATAAACAGTATACTCTTGGAAAGTTTGAAGACTGGTTCTAATGTCTGCAGCCACAAGTTTTTCTTGAATAGTGATAACATAGAATTACTATTGAAAAGTTTAGAACTTTCTTATATAAGGGCAATGCAGTTTGACTCCCGGCCTGGGTTGAAATTTCTGGTTCAGAAAGTATCTAATCTAGATAGTGCTGCTAATCTTTACAAACAAACTACATCATCGTGGCTAATCAAAATTATTGCACTTACCGAAATTTTCTTCAGTGGCGTTCATAGATTCAAATTAAAATCAACTGATATATCTATCATTTTGCATAATTATACTACAACTTTAAACTTGACCCTCGAGTACGATCGATTTGTTACTAAAATATTTGATTTGAAAACAACTTGGGAATTGATTTGTAATAATTATGTAAAACAATTAATTCATGTAACAGATTTTGATAATCAAGAGCATATCAAAGAACGAATGTCTATCAGTTCAGATGATTCGTACAATTCTTCAAATCATTATGAACAATTTTATGCACAAATAGAAACCACAAAGGAACCCGTGCCGTCTGAAAAAGCCGAAGTCGAAACTAATATAGACAGTTCAGAACAAAAATCGCCAGAAAAACCAAAGCCGTTTACTTTTGCTGATTTTAAAGCGAACAGTCAAGCCTCCATAAACGCTGATAACAATAGAGGTACTACACCTATCTTGACAGATAATGACACTACTGAAGGTGATGAAGCTCCTAATTGTGATGCAAATGAAATGCAGTCATTAAATAATGAACAAGATCATATATCAAACGAAACGGATTACGCTATAATCCAGGAATCACATGTAAGCCCACTCAAAGAAAATCATATAAATGTCAAATCTGAGATAATGGATAATCATATATCCGTGCGAAAAGTTAATATTACTATGTGTGATGGTCCTACTTATGAGAAACCTAAGCACGAGCCCCTCATCCCACCACAGCCCGTACCTCCAGAGATCGAACAACAAAGAGCATTGAGTATAAGTAAGGTAAATATATCAACCTTATTCGTATTATTATCGTCACCATATCGCGTGTCTTTATTTTCGCATTAATTAACGTTTGAACCCTTAGATCGCTTTGTTCTTACGAGTATAGTAATTTCACAGTATAATATGATTGTTTACCTGAATTTTATTTCAAACAATACCAAAATCTATTAATGAGTCGTGATCACTTAACAACCAAACATTTTTAAATTTACTTGTAATTCAAATTGTCAAAATATAGTCACCCATATTTTGTGGATTCATATTTATAGTATTATTTTCTCCAAGATACAATGGTATAGCCGATGGCCGATCCCACACCACTAACTACTTCCTATCTGTGGCAGTTTTTAAACTCGTTCTCAAAAAATATGTTCAAATTATGAAAAACACAATTTAAACTTAATTACTTAACAAACATCACTGCACCTTTTCTAAAATCGTGGTGGCAATCGTGTAACGATATATTATTCTGTTATGTTAGTTTTCGGTCGAATGTAACCATCATCACCAATTTGGAAGTAATTATCTGAATATAAAGTTGTCTTAAATAGGACTATAATTATATGATATAAAATAATGGTACCATGCATTTATTTTAGGATACCGAAGTGCAACGGCACTGCTTTCAGAATATTCTCCTGGCATACTTAGAGTTGATATTAACATTTCCCTTGGAGAGGTTCCAATTGATCGCACCTGCACTGCACGGAGGCTTCGCTCAGCTCTCCAACACTGTCACCGATTCACAACTCCTTGATCGTATCAATATATTCTTCGACAAGAAAGACTTATCCGAATTTAATCATAAGTGATCAAATTGTGATAATGTAAAATTCACATAATTGTTTAGTGTATTCCTCTAATATTTCAATGTTATGTGCTAAATAAAAATCAATTATATTCGATTACTTCCCATAATATTTATTTCTTATCCTTTTTTTAAGCTCGTAAACAAATATATATTTGCATTTAATAACTCTAAAAAATCTCCTCTATGTAATCAACAAAAATATACCAAACTTTTTACGTAACAAGAGTCATTTGGTATAGATACAGACTATAAAAAGTTGAGTTGGAGTATACATAACGGCTCTGAGGAAAAAAGACTAGTAATTTTTTATGACAGAGAGTTTTGCCGTAAAAAATTAATAAACACCGTTTGGACACCTGTCTAGGTGATTATCGCAGTCTTTCATTCATTTCATTTTACATATAGAAATTATTTTAATTAATTGGCATTGGCAGAATTGTGTGAAATTCGCAGATAAGCCATTAATAAAAGAAGAAACACCGTTTGGTCAGTTAGGTTTGAACTGTGATCATAAATTTTCAAAGTCTTACCTCGGTGACCGTTACGTAAACTCCTACCAAAAGTTGTCTTTTGATATAATAAATATAGCAATGTATAAACATGGCACGCTGAACTCACTACATTTTGGTAAATTGTGCCCTATTAGATTGGACGTTAAAGCAAACCAAAGCATATATCCTTCGTTTCTGGTATCTACGTTTAATGGCACTATAATATTTGGTGTCTTTCCACAATATTTACAAACATATTTACATTAATATTGTACAAATAATTCAAATCTACTTTCACCTTAATACGTAAATACTAAAATGTGTTACAAACAATGTTAAAATTGATACAGTAACACCAACTGCAGCCTTAGTAGCATACGTGTGGACAGTCAATGCGTACGAAAGCGCACTGAGTCCTAAGTCGAGGGCGACCAAGGCGCTTTCTCTATTGATCATATCGGCTAATTTCTCAGCTTCCAAGACGCAAACCTCAAGCTGTAAATCAGTTGGATCATCTAAAAGTGTTTCTACAGACACGAAAATTTCAGTTTCAATAGTCAAATAACCTCGGAGCGCACATTCGGCAACTTTGACGTGTCTTTCGAGAGCTTTGAGCATATTGTGAAGATTTATCACGGTAGCAGAAATATTGGTGCCGTAGAGAGCTCGGTCGATTTGCTTTTTCGAGTAGAGTATTCGTAACCCTCCTCCACATTTAGGACAGCAAGCTCCTGGTGGAGTGAAGCCTTGACAGCCTTGTTTCTTAAGCGGAGGACAATTTATTCTATCGAACTGACAAGCAGGTTCCATCAAGTCGGTAATAAGGCCAACGGCTACACAGGGTCCTATATAATCTACGCTCACGTACTCTGACCAGGCTGCGCATTCAGATATATAGCTTACGCCGTTGACTCCGCATACAGTTCCTTTCTAAAACAATATTAATAATTTATTTTTATTTTCTTTATTTAATTGGATATACCAGATAGGTATCTGAATTGAGAATTTTATTAAGTCGCCTGGATTGTGAAAGGTCATGGGTTCGAGTCCCTTTACAGAGTGCCAGCGAAAAAAAGCGCTTTTCATTAAGAATATTTTTCAGTATAGCATTATGAATGCAAAATTGATCAAACATAATAATGAGAATTTAAAGTTAAGCACGTCTCAAACCGTACTTAAACCATCTCAAATGTCATTAACTAGAACTTTTACGATCAGTTGCACAAACATCCATTAAGGTTTAACGACGCCTTTAAGCTCTAATGAATGTTAAATTTGTATGGGTAATGTCGCTTTAAACTAATGACTATTTTAATGAACGTTTGTGCAACTGGCTGTTTGACTTGTAAAACGTAAAACTGAAGTTATTAAGAATAATCGGTTGAGATTTTGTACTTTCTCAATTCCGGGCGATAGTGATATAAAATATGCATATAAAGAAGTGCATATTACTTACTTGTGAGCAGTATTTGAGACAAGGTCCCCAGTGGGCAAGTCGCTTCCCACCCAGGGCCAAATGACACGGTGTGGAATGTGTTACCCCATCAGTATCGCAAACTGTCTTTGGCGGTTGTGTATTGCAGTGACTTGTGTTTACTGGAATATAATAAATACCTATGAAATTTTATTATAATTGTTGGCTACAAGATCTCGAATTTGCGAAACGCAGATCCACTTTATTTGCGAGATACGCGGACCTCATACAGTAATTACTTCACAGAATTGAGCGCGTAAGTCTAACTTTGGATTAAAGATTAACCGGTCAAAGATCAAGATTATGATCGTGGATCGCGTCAATGATAACTGCCCAGAGGTGACACAGATCGCGATTTGCGACGTGGTTCACATCTACGTATACCTGGGGGCTTGACGTCTTAATCTTGTACAATGGTGGTTACGTAGATGAAGTAAACCGTCGTATGGCCATTACTAAAGCCACGGCAGAGAAGTTGAGGAAAGTATGGAAGAATCGGAACTTCACCAAAACCAACAGACAGGCTAAAGCGATTTCTGGTATTCCCAATCTTCCTTTATGTGGTAGAAACGTGGACAGTGCGGAGTTGGAAAAGGAGAATATAGATGCTCTAGAGATGTGGTGCTGGAGGAAAATGCTTGGCATATTGTGGACAGAGTTTCGCACCAACGTCCATACTCCATGAACTCGGTATAACAAACCGTTTATTCACTGTAGTACAGACGCGCACACTGCAATACTTTAGCCAATATCTCTAGACGTGAAAACAATTCAATAGAACGGCTGGTCGTGAAAGGAAAAGTAGAGGGAATCAGAGCACGTGGCAAATCACCCACGCGCTGGACTGATCAGGTGTCAGACTGCTCCAGACCGTGAGGAGGGCTGTGTCCTCCTCTAACATTAACAAAGATTTTCGCGTACAGACAGCGGGAAGCAACTATAAGATCAGGTAAGATCAAATTTATTTCATATTAAAATGATTCTATATTGCAATATACTTCAACTACAACTAATGAGTCAGTTTTATTATAAGTTGATACCTAACTAAGTAAATTCATACATGTATCGTAAGTATCTTTGGAAAATAGTATCTTTTGTGCTTATACTACAATAACAATAAATGACATAATATCTACACCAAAAATATTTACCATACTATCATCATCATCATCATCATCATCATCATCAGTCCTTTTTCGTCCCCACTATGAGGATGGGCCATGACCCTCCACGCTGGCCCAATGCGGATTGGAGGGTATTAACGACTATAAATATAGCTCGAGATAATAATTTTTTGGTCACCCATCCCGTGACCGACCCTTGCAAAAGTTGCTTAACGACAACGATCGCGGGCCGCGGATCTTATCCACTACGCCACCGAGCTACTTCTTAATTTACTATGTACTTATTTAATAATTACCTTGGCCCCAATTAAATAACAACAGCTAGATTTTTTATTCTTCTGTTGAGATTTTGTTCATGCTTATGGGTGAGAAAATTACAAAATATACTACGGATTTTTTGAATATAAATAGTATTCTATTTTAGGTATTCTTTAAGTATCTCGAGCAGTCATCTGGGCCACAAATTACCAATTCATGTTCTTAGAAGTGTCGATATCTGTAAGAACATCACGTGTTGTATTACCAACACTAACTCTGTGCTGCTTGACGCTGTAGGGAGCTTTGCTCTACGCGACTTTGTATAGCTCATGTATAGATATAATATGGTTGTGGCTCGTGTTACCGCAGACATGTTGCGGGCAGGACGCCTGTAATCTGGACAAGCACACGTTAGGAGCGCGCGCGCACGCAAGCCGCCCACACCCTCCCCCCGGCCCCGCCCCCGCCCCGCACGCCCTCCTCTCACCGAATTCTATATCGGCATCCGTCGCTCCCGCACACCTTGAACAAGATGAGATGGCAAATAAACCCATCAATCAAACATTTAGAATTTTCCTGAATAGAAACCCTGGCGGCCGGATATGTGTAACTCATAGGAATTAACATGACACCTGACCTATTTTTCCTCGAGCGAAAATTCGAAAAACTTCAAATCGTTAATATAATTTTGTTAAATTCATATCTATGGAAACTATCTGTACCATTTCATTCACAGTGTCAGGTATTCCTTCCCTTTGTTGCATCATATTTTATCGAAAAATACACAATTTATACGTTTAGAAAATATCGAGATTAAATTTCATTTTTGAAAAAATAAATTAAGCCAACAGGTGTAATGTTAATTCGTGAGAATAGTATGGGGGTCTGCAAAATCCTTAGCACTGCAAATGAGCACAAGCAGTAGTTACAATTCAAATATAACATCTACGCAAATATTAGATTTAAGTGCAAAAAATCAGCAGCATCATGTGTATACCACGACTCGCTTAAAACTCTGGCTTACAAAAAAAAAATAATTATATAATTACGAAGTCGCTTAAAACTCTGGTTTACAAAAAAAAATTATAGGCGTATAACTCACTTGGCGAGACAAGCATTAGGATAAAGTCTAGAGGCAGCCCTAGCGGGGAGATGATGCGGGGGACACGAACAGGGAAGACGCGGGGCGCGGGACAGAGAACCCGCCCCCGCTCCCGTCCCCACCCCGCACGCACGCGTCCCACACACGCGCTCGCCACCCACGCACGTGCACGGGTTACACTCCACCCAGTACCGAGACCCTATAGAAAATCAACCACGAATTGATCAAAACCGGCAACCGGAATAATATTAATTAAATGAGTATTATTGCTCTCAATCTATCCTATATATTCAACTCAAATGTAAAACATTAAAATTGTACTTCAAAAAACTACTCACATTCAGAAATCATGAGTTAAATCTTCTTCTTATAGTGTCCCCCAGAAGTGAAGGTTGGGAGTTAGCTTCTCATATTTTTTTCATCCTTAGCAAGGCGTCTTTCGCGTTTGCCATATTACGCTATTGGATACCAGCCCATTCTCTCAACCAAGACATTCTCATAAAATAGAGTTGACGTGAATACCCTTTTAATCCAGCTTTCGATCTCTACTTTTACTCTTTCTCTTTTTAGTCTCTATAATTAAAATAAAATCTCACCATGTTGAACTATACGATCAAGAAGGCGGCAGTTTTCTAGTTCGACGCAGGGAAGTGGCTGACACTGAGTGAGACCCCGAGTGCCGCACCGGCATACTTTATAGCACGCCTTACGTGACGCACCTGCCATCGGCACCCGCACCCAAGAACCTATCGTTACCACGAACGAACTGCCCTCGCCTGGTAAAATCAAATTTATTACAGTATGTCCGTTGAGTATAGTAGACTATCAGTTTCCATTGTCAGACCTTGATAAAGTAACATTTGCTTACAGTTCAAACTTAATGATTAAGTATATGTAGCACGCGGGCAGCCGCCAGCAATACCGGTACAGAAGCGGCACCACTTCGAATATTTCATCTAATCTTAAGTGGAGTGCCCAGTGACAAAAACTCCTATCTCTCGATTTTTTCGAGTTTTTTACTAGTGGAAATTTTGCTTAAGTTGCTATCATAAACTTACGGACGCGCTTTCAAGTCTTGCCAGTGGCACCACTCATCTTAAATACGTAATGTAGTTCTACAGTTATCATTTCGTTCTACACTTTTTACACTAAAAACTTCAAATCTCTCACCAAGTCGACATCCGTCGAGACACGTGTATCTGGTACAAGTGCCACCGTGCAAGCAATTTCTGTTGGGCACGCACACCTGCGTCGCGTTACACGGGGCGCCCGCGCACGGTGACGTCACGGCCTCCCGTGCGGACAGCAGCGGCGGTTCCGTACCTGCTTGCAGAATATGTACTGTACATTTAAACATCTGATAATGTTTTATTAAAAATCAATAGCACTTTAAAAGTATTACAGACGTAAAACTACGCTAAAACGTTAATATATGTATCAATGGCCTAATGTATGTACAACAGAAATGGCTAAAACTCTTCCGAAGTGCAGAAGAACTCGAAATAATAATTTTTTGATCACCTATCCTATGAAGTCCTTGCGAAAGTTGCTTAACAATCTTGTCGCAGTCCGAAGGCGCTAACCACAGCGCCTTCAAGCACCTTTGAATTTTTACGTTGGTAAAAAATAAGTTAAAAAGACACTGTCTAGAAGATGTCTAAAGTAAATTAAAAGAAAACATAATGTACTACCAACCATAATAATTGAAATAGGAGCATTGATAGATAGATAGACACTTTATTGCACACATTTTAATGAAAGAAAGACACCTGATTCATATTTCCCACAAATAAGTAATAAGTATATAATACATACATAGAAATTGTAACATTTTTTAATAAAATAAGAACAAAAGTAACAACAACAAAGTAAGTACCTGTGAATAAGTGTGAGTGAGAGTGTAATTGGATGCATGTGTATATCAATCTGTGTGCATTTCTGTGTTTGAGTGCAGGTGAAGTCAATGAGTATCGTTCTGGAATAAGCACTTACTGGGTGTTATGAAGTTCCTCAGCTGGACACAAGGCGCATTCGAATCGCGTGGAGTGAGGCGGGCGCATAAAGCAGCGGCGGATAATTGTGGTGAGGCTCGAGACCACTCGATACATGATGATACTAAACGCGTGCAGTCTTCCGCACACAACATGCTACTATGGCCCTATTAATTATATTACAGTTTCAATAATCTGCCTTTCGGCGGAATAGCAATATTGTCAAAATAGATAATCGGCTTATTACTTTGCCCACTGCTGGCACACAGGCCTGTCCTATGCTTGGGATTAAATATGAAAAAGAAGCTATGACCCACCATGCTAGTTCAAATTAGTTGATGGGACTGCAGACACAGCCGGGACCAACGGTTGATCGTTTCTTCCGAAGCAGAGAAGCTCAATATAAAATGGTCAGCTATTATTAGAAGCATAAAATTATTAGACCATGTTAATAGTATCAAAACCATTACACGATCCAAATAACATACTAATGAGAGGATTTTTACTCACCTTAGCAGTGCATGGCCTGACATGTAAAGGACAAGCGACGCTCTTCCAAATATCAGTGGGACATTGTGATAAGTTTTTTAATGGAACGACAAGACCAGACACTGTTATGGATCTGTAAGCGAATTAAATATTTCTCTGTCAACTGAGGAAGGGTCTCATGTGAAAAGACTAGAATTTTTATTAAAAAAGAACTAGCTTCTGCCTGCGACTTCGTCTACATGGTATAGTTAGATAGTATTGGGGTAATTTCAAAAACTCAAATTAAATATTTTTGTGCCTAAATACAAAGTTTTTAGATTTTCTCTTTGACAATAACGAACACATCATCTACATCCCCACCTCAATCCTTTTAACTCTTTCCCAAGGTCGACTCTATCTTTGTACTGTTTATTAAAATCGTTTCAGTGATTTAGGCATCAAAACATTAAGACAGAGTTTCTTTCGCATTATGTATAATATATCTATACTAGAGAAGAAGGGTTTTATAGGTAATAATAATAATAATATAGCCTCATTTAATCCCATAATGAGTTACATAATATAACACAAAATTATTGTATGCATGCATGATATGAATTTACAATTAATATAATTACATAAATAACAATGTTATCGCATTATAGATAGTATTTCGATTTTTCTACAGTATTATTTTTCAATTGTTATTCATTATATTATTATTCACAATTAATTAGTTAATTAGCAAAAAATTTATTGAAATTACAATTATTCTAAATTTAAAATTATTTCATTAAGGGCCCCTCAACGGGTAAAGGCCACCTCCTTTTTTTTCCACATCTGTCTGTCCTTTGCCTTTGTGATCCAGTTGTCACCTGCTTTTCTTATTATCTCGTCTATCCATTTTTCTTTTGGTCTGCCCCTTTTCCTTTTGTTTAGTGGTCCTCGCCAAGTGGTGGTGGTATAATATTATCTATACTAGAGAAGAAGGGTTTTATAGGTACTACATATTATTTCTGAAAAAACTCTGACCTGCTTCCCTTTTGCTCTGCAACGGCGAGATGTGCCTCTAGATCGGCCTGGGCGGTACATGAACGGAATAATGTTGTAGGTCTGTTGTTCAAATGGCTGCAATATGTCAGCCCAGCACACCCCAACGAGCAAGGCGCTTCCACTGTACCCAAATATTAAGGTAACGTACAATGATATGATTCTGTGCAGTTTATAGAGTTAATTTGAACAAAGAGACAATGTATGACTACATTTATCCTTTTTTTTTTGTATTAAAAGGCACATGTTCAAAATAGCTGAATGAGATATGGTAGCAAAAAAATAGTAGGACCACCATCCATCCTAAATTATAAGGTCGCTATTGATGTCTAATGGATTGACAATGATCTCAGTTCCCAATAACCCGGCTTTATGCTTTTTCTAGAAAAGCTCATTCTAGTCGTATTATAAAACGAATACTTGTCTCCGTTCACTTTTTCAAAAATCATTAAAATACTACATAATCTAAAATATATAATTTGTACCTTCTTCAATGCACTCCGTCAAATCGTTTTCCTGTGGATCTCCCAAGCATTCGCTATAAAATTTCTGCCAGTTATTTTGCCATCCGGTGTTAAAGGTTTCGAAGCACAATTTTCGACAATTGATAGTTTTTGCCTGCATCAAAACGTTTCATCTATAAACTTGAATAAAAATTATCTTTATAATACAGAAGACTAATGTGTACATAAGACTGAGCCCATCTTTATACCTTTTGACAGCAGTTTAGCTTAGCTACATCATGTGGAATAATATCTTTGTTGTCGGTGGGTTCGTCTTTTCTTAGGAAACATTGCCAAAGACCATCGGATAAAGAAGGCGCTCCACAAGCAGCGGACAACGTGTCAGATATTTCATTAGGTTCCCCAGTGCGGCGGAGCACTGCCTCGCATGCGCTTCGACACGATACACGTGATGATTCGTGACAACAAGGTAAATCTGAAAATTTTGCAGAATAATTCTATATAAAATATACTTCCTGTTTAGAAATAATATCTTCCAACTGTATTATTAATGAAAACAATATAACATTTAGAAATAATGGCATTTTTACTTCTCCAAGTTGAGGGTTCACAGTTAGTCGTAAAGGTTTCTTAGCCATGATCGATAGCTTTCATTTTAATTAATACGATTAACTCAAACAGATATCCAAAATAAACCATACGGCTAATAGGGGTACAAAATCGTTAGTTTCATCGCCGCGCTGATGATGTTCAAGTTGTAGTACGAGTACGGTACTACAAGATTAGACCGTCATCGGGAAATTCCCTGTAATGCAGAGCACTGCTTACACTCGGGCGCCTGTTGTGCTTATCACGGCCTGGCAATCATTAAACAATTATCGTTGTTGCAGGTATTATGTATATGTTACGCTCAAAGACCGAAAACCGAAAGTCTTTGAGCGTAACGTATACATTAAAGAGTATCTGAAAAACTTACACTTAGATGTGTCTGCATGAATCGATGACGCGGTCATGTTTCGTAAACACCGAAGAAGAGGCGGTGACTGCTCACACACTTCGATAGCGTGGTCAAGGGCCGTATTGTCTACACGTGAACTTCCAATCCGCCATAACGCTTTGTGACAAGCCTCATGGCAATTAAGGTATTGCGTCTGCGCTGAAAGGAAAACTGCTATCTCATTTTTCAAAGTTTAATCAGTCAATGTTGAACTCACGATTTCGTGAGATTGTTTAATTCAAACGTCTACGTCTACGTTTACTTGTATTATTACATCATTTACTTTTCCATTAGGTTTAAATATTTACACCTTATTAACCTCAATATAAATGCCTCATGTAGAACTTAACACGACTATGAAAGTATAATTGAACTAAACCAAATGAACTAACTATGTGTTAAGCATACGAAACAAATTTACACGTAATGAGAAATGCAGGAGTGTTTATAAAAAGGTTAAAAGCCTCAGCGCCCTAACGGTCAATCAGATTCGCATCTTGTCTGAGATGAATATTTTCAATACCATATAATTTACTGTATTTGATCGATTTTGCATTCACAATGCTATACTGAAAAATATTCTTAATAAAAACAACTTTATTCCTGGCACGCTGACATGGGACTCGAACCCATGATCTTTCGCAATACGAGCGACTGCTCTATATTTGTAAAAATATTTCTTTCGGTTGTTTGGGTGGATTGCCTCAACATTGACGAAAATACGCTTTGTAGTAGCGAAGTCGCCCGGATTGTGAAAGGTCATAAGTTCGAGTCCCATCTTAGAGTGCCATTTAAATTATATCAATCATATAATTTTTTAACAACAATTCTATATTTACGTACAACAACACCATTGTGCAGTCCGCTGGCTATGAACGCAGTCGAAGAGGGCGATTTCATCGGAATGGCGGCAGGCGCTGCTCGCTACAAGCGCTTGCTCGTGTTGTGCCAGCGTGCATGCATCACGGCATCCCGGTGAGTTGCCGAGCTCGCAACAAGCGCGACCCCACCAACCAACCTCCTCCACCACTTCTGAACATCAAATATAATCATTATCAAATATTGCCTGGTATTGCCAAAGACATAATCTACACATAGAAAATTACTTACCCTCGATAGTATTGTTCATGCATATCCAAAAGTCCACCTGCGAAAGGAAGACTATCTATAAATAGGAAGGTTTTAGATTTCAGAAAATTTAAACACCATTGTTCATATAATTCTTCGTAATAAGATACGAATGAAAGGGCCTTACGGTCTTATGATATAGTAATACGAAACCTGCCCAATTACAATACAATACGATGGGCGGTTTATTGACAACTTGAATGAGGATTTCTCGCAGAATGTGAAAGACGCCGTTCAATTTTTTTTACACAATTGTTCAAATTAAAACATAAGAGCTTAAATATAAGATGATTAACGCTATGACTAAGGGCAATTTAATTTAGACATAATCGACAAACTATCCCAACAAGTTCTAACTAAGTAAACAACAACATTTTTTTTTTTAATTACTTTGAAAAATCTTACCAACTGCGGTGAGGGTGTGCAAAATTTATAAATATTTTTTATCCTCTCTTCCCGGACGTCATTATCCGTGTTAACAACCAAAGACATCTGTAAACAACACAATATAAATATAAAGGCGCAAACTTCTATACATCATTGCGCAAATTTAGACTAGATAATGTGAGCTAGCTCGGTGGCGTAGTGTATAAGCGCCACGGCCCGCGATCGTAGTCGTTAAGCAACTTTCGCAAGGGTCGGTCACGGGATGGGTGACCAAAAAATTATTATCTCGAGCTACTCCGTGCTTCGGAAGGCACGTTAAGTCGTTGGTCCCGGCTGCATTTGCAGTCATTAATACCCTCCATTCCGCATTGGGCCAACGTGGAGGGTCATGGCCCGTCCTTCTTAATCATCCATAAGGAAGGCCTGAGCCCCTACAGTGGGGACGTAAAAGGGCTGGTGATGATGATGTTAGCACAAACTGTCTAATAAAATTTGATTGGGTAAAAATGACAAATCTTGGTATGTTATCCCGGAATAGAGGAAAACAAATTGTTGATATTCGTGAATATTTACTATGCATCAAAAGCAGTATCATGTCTTACCACCACTGAATCATAAACTATCTAAAAATGCATAAATAATAGCCGACGTTTGGTTTTTCGTCCTACGAGTAGTATTTTACCCGAACTATATTTGCACATGTAGTTATAAATAAACGTTCCAGATAATTGTTTAATTACTTAAACAATACAATGGGATTGACATCACTAGGTCCCAGTAAAATCAAAGAAGTTGCCAGTATTAAACATTAACTACCGCTTCAGCTTTCGTTAGAAAGACTACCTTTTTAAGAAAGCAAAATTCCTAAACAAACAATACCCAAATTATTCATATAGCTTATAATAAGACTATAAATAAAAAAACTTTAAAAAAAATAGAGAATACTTCTGCCCGATTACAATAACATTTTAATAAGTCACTTTTGCGATAAGTACTATTTATTACTTTTTAAAAGTTTGAAGTCGCTTCTATTTTTTGAAAAGTTTTTATTTCATGCTTTTTAGTGATATTGATATTTGTTATATAACAATGCAATAAAAATATTAAAAATCTATATAAATAAAAAATAGTGAAAGTCTTAGAAAAGGAGATTTTGTTTATTTGCTCGACATATTTTTCCAATCATAGCTCATATTAAATGGAGGAAAAATTTGATTGCTTTTTTGTGTGCATTGGATAAGTTTCGAAACTATTGGATCGATTTATAAAAATCTTTCATCTACGGTAAACTACATAGGTAGGTAATACGCGGGGGACATAGACTATAATATACTATACATAAGCTACTATACTATACACATATACACATAGATATTACACATATATACTATGACACATACATATATACTATACATACCATATACAAGCTAGACTATAATATACACAAGCGAGAAGTAAATCAAGTTCATGCAAAAAGCAATCGTTGAACATAGAAAATTCTCCTTTCGAATTTTGAATGAATGCAAAACACGCATCTTTTGTTTTTTAACTGAAATAAATATATCATCTAAATATTTAGGTGATATCTGATGTATTTTGTTTTGTTATAAAGAGAAAACTAATCAACCGATTTCGATAAAAGTTTAAATATATAGGACCACCTCGAAACCATCGGTATCAAGCCGTCGAATAAAAAAATAAATGAAAATCGGTCAACCATTGGCGAAAATATGAAAAAACATAATCTAAATAAAATCAAAAAACATTTTTTTTCATAATAAAATAAAAACATAAAAAAATACATCGCCGTCGAACATATAACTTCCTCCTTTTCGATTGTGAAGTCGGTTAAAAATGTAAACTGCACATGACACAAAACAACGCCAAAATTAGTAATTAATAAAACTGACGCCCGTATGCGGGCCGTGTGTCAGCTGAACACATGTTTTTATTGGGCCGCATTAGTTCGTCTAATGAATTTAATTGATGTACGGACATTACATCACAGTCTCTTTTAAAATATCTGGTTACATTCCCTATATTTATCCTAACTCCAGCAAACGTTGAATAACGGTAATGTAGTAGTTATGATAAAAATTTATGAATGATTAATATGCAAACGTAAAATATTGGGTCTTGTAAATAGGCAAAGAATTAATTTACTTCATAACATAATCGACGTTCTCCTTTGTATGATAAAATGTGTGAACACAATCGCAGACTGCAGGGTTATCGAAACGAAAGTGCTAAGTTTATCAGTAAAGATAACTTATCACCAATAACTCTATGGGCTTGGATCTTGTACAGTTATAATTATAAGCACCTTCGAAACAAGATAATGTCAGAAAGTTGATAAATATCAGTAACTAAAAAGTTTATGTGAATAGACCTTACACACCACATTATAATCTGTTCATTGTGTAGAAAATATCAATACAAGATTCTTGTTATAAAATTATGTTATTATTTATAAAGTGTTTATTTAATCAGTGGTTAATATACAAAAAAGGAAATATATTGATATTCATAAAAGTTCAATAACATGGTTATTAATAATTAAGTAGAATATTTTCTTTTTCGTTTTAAAGTAGAAGCTCTGTTGCTCTATTTATTACACGGAAGACATTATTAATTGTGAGAGAGTTATTGCTTTCACTTCTTAAAAAAATATATTACATCAATTATAACCATAATGATAACCAGTGACCTTTCTGATACGTTCTATATGAAGTTTTTTGATAAAGAAATCACAATCACTACTTAAAATTACTTTAAGAATGTCATCAAAAGCACACAGCGCATAATCAAAGTCATGTGCATAATCAACCCTTTTCTTTTCTTTTATGAACTTTTGATGAAGAATAAGCGACAGCACAAAGAATATCTTATACCGATCGGGACCTCTCAAAGTAAAAAGAAAGATAAAAGGAATAGCTTCGCCAGCAAATTATACTTGGGTTACTTTTGAGATGCTCTACATGATAAACAAAGAAGGTTGGAAGGCCTACCGAACACTTCAAAGTAGGTTTAAACTTCTATCAATTTATTAAGTAACGATTTAACGTTTATGAAAGACCGGGGGGTTTGAAATATGCGGCATGCTACGATGGTAAGCAGTTGAATGGCAATGATGCCAACTTGCTAACGATTTTTGAAATTCGAGGAATTAAGATCGTTTAACTCACCTCTGTTTCACAACTCCTCGGATCCCAATACTTATTTTATAATTATGACTTGGATGAAAAAATATTTACTTGTTTCTAGGATTATGACATGCATTTAGTTAGACATTAAGGGAAAACGGGTAACTAGTAGCGCTAATGAATGCGCTTAAACTATACGTTATCAGCACTGTTTAAAATAATATAGCAAAATAATAAAACTAAAAACAGTGTTCTTAATAAAGCTAGAGGGTACAACTAAAATATCCTGAAAAACTTAACTTCAAAACATCTACATAGACTATAGTAGGAATAATAATTAATTTAAAAAAATATTAATATTATTATGAGAGATTAATATTATGACTGAAAATTTAATATGCTTATTGAACTTGGCACGTGGGTTACATTCACAAGCAAGAGCAAAAGTCACCCATTGTATTCAAAGAAAAAGATCATATGTCAATAATAAGTCAATTGAAGTATTTTTCGCCGATTAAGCTCGTGTCGCGATGTCGTGTGGGACACAATGATCATTGTATACAAATCAGAGGTAGACAGAGGACCAGCCCACACGATCGGCCATCACCATTGTTCTAGCTGTTGTTTTATACCCCAACCCAACCCAACAAACAATGTCACAGATGTAACGTAATTGTAATATTAAAATCACCCACATTTTTTGCTCCTATTTGACATTTTATTGCTCAAAGTTGTTTAATAAACTAGCTGTTACCCAAAGAAAAAAGCTAAACGAAGTTCTATAAAAAAACATCATACTATATAATATAAGCATGATAGGTATATAACGCCGCTTAATTGCGACATAAAACAACATAAACATTAACGAATGAATACTTTGATGCAATTCAGTGGCCTAATAGCCAAAAAAGTAATATCTTCCAGGCAACCGCAGCGCAGGTTAGACCGGCGAGAAAACATGTTTTCATAATAATAATCAATATAACAGTATCTAAACAAAGTATACATATAGAATAGAAATAGGATGAAAACAATAGCATATTAAACTTAAAGTATAGATAATATTCCTTAAAAAATAGATTTTGTAATTTTTATTTATTATTATTTATTAACAATGTTTTTCCAATTTTGGACATTCATTGAAATTCCGAAAAACCAACCTTTTTAAAATTTTTCGTCATTCAAAAACTTTTTTAAATTAATTATCAATACCGATTACTATTTATCAATAATCGAAGTTATAATGAAAACGGATGGAAGTTCGTACATTAATTTGGAGACCGACAAAGATGAAGCTTGTTTTAATATACGTAAACTTTACCGAAGAGAGACGAATTAAACATTAAAGACAACAATGAGTCATTATGGTATCAATATAATTTCTGCCGTCTTCGAGCTTCAAGTTTACAATTAATGTTTATGGTCATGTGCACATCAAAACGCATAATTTTTACTTGCGAGCTATTTTCTTATTAAAACATTTATAAAGATGAAATAACCCCGCGGACCAGCTAGTTAACAATAAAAATTCTACTTACTCATAATGTAATAGTAATAAGTTCATAACCCAAAGGACAATTGTTTTTCCTCGATCCAACATGATATACCAATTAATATGCGGACAGTGACAATTCTCGGAAACAAACATTATTCAGATACGACGCGGATGGTGGTAGGAATGGACGTTTATATTTTTATGCATTCGGGTGCGCGTTTAAATAATTTATTTAATATTCAATCCGCACTCCTCGTCGTTTGTCAATGGTGACAGAGTGTTATATCTTTTACCATCTATAGATGCTAGAAGGACAATGACACAATAAGTATCCACCCAGTTGCACAAACATCCATGAAATTATGATTAGTTTTTAAAGCGACATTACAAACGTCCATTAAGGTTTACTTACGACTTTAAGCTCTAATGAATGTTTTAAATTTATATCGGTAATATCGCCTTAATCC